TTATTTTTGGCCATGTCGTTGTCAGTTTGTTTTCGATCTATGAGTTTGACTGTCCCTCTGATATCTTTCGTCCCTCTTTTCCAGCAGCGCCTGCATACGGAGTATATATCTTCCAGTGGATACGATATTCCAGGGCATGTATTTCCTATCCTGATTGCCTTGATAGGGGGCTGCTGCTTACAAGGAAGCTATAAGACCAAGAGTTTCAATTGGTGAAGTTGAAATCATCCCTTCGTAAATTTTACGGACGTAATCACAAGTTGGTTGACCGTTGTGGAATATCCAATACACAGATGACAACGGATATGTTCCAATTGTTGTAAATACAATCCTGTCCCCTTTTCCCCGAATATGACCTACGAATTAGACTTATCACCGGGTGTGTACTAACATGAGTTACACGACGGGTGCCACTTGTGGAGCAGGGTCTGCTTACTCTTCCGGAGCACTTGAGATCACCCCCAGTTTTCGGTGGGGTTTGTGTTGCTCATTCTTTATCTATGTTGTATTTTTGTGTACTGTTGTTTGTCTGTTTGTCTGTTTGTCTTTTTCTTTATTTTAGCATGACGTTGTCAGTTTATTTTCGATTTATGAATATGAATGTCACTTTGGTATCTTTCGCCGCTCTTTTACAGCTAGGAATTTAGCTCAGATAACGGGAAGGAATATATCTATGTCGTGTGTAGTTGGTAATATAACCAGATTGATGACCCGTTATTGTTATATTGTTATTGAATATAGAGTTACTAGCAGGGGCGGATCCAGGATTTTGGAAAGGGGGGGCGTAGTATGTAATATTTGCCGAGCTGAGCGAGGCGAAAATTTTTTGGACCTTTTTTTTGGCTACTAACCATAAAATAAGTGTAAAATGCACATTTTTAGTGACGGTTCCTAACGTGGGGTATGTATATTTTATAGTTAAAGTGCCGGTAAGCTTGGTGCCGCATTCTCCCCATTAGTTGTCTATTATAAAATGATTGAATGGATCTAAAGCTATGTACTAATATATTTGATGTGAGATTTGTCAGTAAAAAATGGACATGGAAAATTCTCGTTTGTTGTATGGTTAGTTAGCATAACCTCACAGATTACTTGTTGTAAACATGATATACGGCTATTCAATGAAGTTTATAATACGACCGACACGAACAAAGACAAACAAGCAATTTTTATCCAAATGTTTGGTGAAATGTTTCACTCAACAAGGGAAGTGAGGGGTTCCAAATCAACCAACGGCTACGAATGAGTCTGAAAATCAAATGACAACGAAGTTGTGAATGACGGTCGACAAATGTAGACATACAGGCCACACCCAGCAGGCAGGTTGCAGTTGGGCCTTGAAAAAAGTATTCAGTATATCAGTTCGGCGAAACAGACATTCCGGTCAGATATGGGATTTACATGCACCCCCCCCCCTCCAAAAAGAAAAGAATTTTTGTTTAAGGCAAAAATCAGGGTAAGAATTTTTTCTCTAAAATATCTCAGACTGCCCTATCAAATCAAATGGTCCGTACCTTTATTCAGCAATGTTATTAATTGGCTGGGGCGTGTGGGGTTAAACATATTTTCGTAGGTAAATAATATTGCCGTGGAACTTTTTTTTTCATGAGAGTGTAATAGAGTATTACTTTCTGTTGAGTGGAAATATGAAATAGAAGTCAATACGTTCTTGCTCAATCCTTTGTCGCTTTGAAGGCGTCATGCTTGTCATCCTCCGCCTAAGCAATGTGTTACTGTAATTTGAATTTCAAAATGACTGAGTGACGTTTCGAAAGTACAGATCAACTCCACCGTAGCGAAACATATGACTGACATAATCAATAATATATTACAGTAAATACGAGCGAAAAATATCTTTATAAGTAAAGAATTGTCGCATAAAAATTAAATACACGACCGGGAAATGGCAAAGTTCACGAAGTCTAGTCTGATTCATCATTTTACAAAAAAAAAAAAAAAAAGTTCAAGCAAAGGTACGCCCTCTACGCCCCCCTCTGGATCCGCCACTGGGTTTGACTTATTGTCGTGTGAATCTTATAATGATGTATTTTCTATTTTTTCTATTTGGTAATACTAAAGTGGTAAAAATTTAAATTAAAGTTTAAAAGCTCAATAACATAATATTTTACCGAGACATCAAAAGTTATCTTAGAATAGAATTTACGTACATGTCATGATGAAGTCACTCGGTGTTTGATTGTTTTTAATAAGACAAGCAACTTGGATAAATAAAGCATCCCCTTTCTTTGAGATACTAGTAGAACATTTCACTACAAACAATGTAGTTTTAGAAATGTATCCTTATAATTGCATTGGAGACAGACCATGGATTTTTTAACTTTGTAATATCCCCAATTTTGTACTGCTGGATTTTCTAATAATTTGCTCATAGATTGAGCTAAAACCATGTGCAAACCATTTAATCATAGTACCACTAGGATAATTTTGATAACAACTATTTAAGAGCAAAAATACACGAGAAACAGTGGAGATACAACACTATAAAAATATTTTTCTCTGAACAAACAAGATGAATAAGCCTGAAGTCCTGGTCACCGAGGAGAGTGGGTTCAACAACTGCATGATATGTACATATATAAATTCATGTCTTTCTTTATCATTTGTGTGATGTATTTATATGTAATGTGTTATTTTGTTTTCATGTATGTCATCAACCCCATTGGTATATAATAGTGTATTATTTTCAATATATTATTATAATCCAATGGGAGTGTCGAGATAGAACAGTGTAGTTCTGACAAAAAAATCATTGAGAGTAGAAATCTCATATTTTAGTTGTATAGGGTGATACATTGCACTTGGATCTCAAATATTGACTATCTCCATTTTTATCAAAAGTGGACATTTAACATGATAAGATTCACACTACGATATGTGTCATGGTGTGTTATTTGGCTTATATTTTTAATAGTATGATTTTGTATAAAAAATATGTTTTATCTTTTAGAAAGAAAATTTAAGTTTGTATTTTGTAAAATTTTTAATCAATTTGTTTAATTAATTTTACCTATGCTGTGGCATTAATACTCGAAATGTCACAGTTTGCTCAAAGCACTTTGATTTGAAATATTAATTGTAATTAGCATATGTCATTTTGAAAGTTTAAGATTTTATCAAAACATTATAGGATTAGGCTTTGTTAATTAAAGTCTATTTTTGCTAATGAGAGTAATATTAACATGTCGAGATATAATTATCTATTTTTGGATTTAGTATAAATAGCGTTCTGAAATTTAGGAAAAGCAGTCACCTTTCGGAAACCTTAACTTGCACTGCTAAAGTCTATAATACTGGATCTGTAAGACTGTTGATCAGTCTACCAGTTGACTTTGTAGTGTTTAGACAAAAATGTATTTTTGACTCGCCTTTTATTTTTGAGAAAACTTTAGAAAACAGTCAGTGTTTCAGAGTCGTAACCTCTCACTACTCACGTCATGATAATGGACCTACAAGACTGTCTACCAGTCTACCAGTTGACGGTTTAGTGTGGAGACAAAATTTATCTCTGACTCATAATTTAACTTTGGAAAATACTTTTGGGAATCTTTTATTTTTGAGACTTTTACATTTTGATTTTGAGATTAAGTTCATTTTATGATTTAGTAGTTTTGGCATTTATTTTACATTTTACATTGTGAGGAGAAATAGTTTTACTTTGGAGTTGATATTTAGATTTTAACTTTGTACTTTAATTATTAATATTATTTGGCATTGTTTACTGATTGATTTGTTATCATCATTCATCTAAATTGTTATCGTTAATTAAATTGTGAAAACCTTCCTTGCGTTTTAGCTATGCCTATCAGAACAATAAGTCTAGCGATAGACTGACCCCCTGTCCCTTGGTTCCAGCACATACGAGTTAGCTCCCCTTTTCTAACAGTGCTCTGGAGTGGACCTTGGTGACAGATGTGTCAGTGATGATAGTCTTCTCATTGAGGGTTTTGTTTGAGGAGGCTAAATGGGCTTGACTGATGTTTGTTTACAGCAACTGGTTTCAAGCAATTATTTATAAAAAAATTTGAATGCCTAACTTGTCACGTTTGGATGAAGAATGTAATTAATGAAAATATGTGAATTAAAGAGGTGCCAACTCATACCACATCTTCCTATATCTATAAACATATTATTCAGTTCTCTTTCTGACTCTTGCATTTATGTTTAGCTCCTATTCTCTATCAGTTTGAAAGATACAGACCTTTTTCACTGGTCTCATTAGACGATACGACCTCTACCAACCACTGGATATTTTCCAGAAATTATTGTAAAACTGTTGCAATGGAAACTGTTACCTACCTTGACATTTATCAACAATGATGGACAAATACCTGAGTTTTTCGTATTAACTAAAAACCAAAAAGCTTAATCATAATGGAAGGTAATAACCAGAGAATTTTGCAACAACTAAAAACCAACAAAAAAAGATTAAAACAGTGTAGTCAAAGGTAAACTATTGTGTGCGATTATGTGTTAGGATATGGAATGCTTCTAAACACCTTGTGATGAAAAAAGGTAAACAGTTAAAAAGGCATGTATCACTCTCAAAGCATGTGAGTTGGCAACTGTGGAATAAGAGTGTTTATATGTGTAACAAACTTTGAACTAGGAACTTTTTTCTTTATAACTGTAAGATGGCATCAGTTTAACACTAGTAGTTAAACAGATAAGCTTGCCTGTCTCAAGTCAGGAGCCTGTAATTCATTGGTTGTCTGTTGCTATGTAACATATTTGTTTTTCGTTCATTATTTTGTACATGAATTAGGCCGTTTTCTCGTTTGAATTGTTTTACATTTTTCATTTTGGGCCTTTTATAGCTGACTATGTGGTATGGGTTGCTCATTGTTGAAGGCCGTACGGTGACCTTTAGTTGTTAACTTCTGTGTCATTTGGTCTCTTGTGGAGAGTTGTCTCATTGGCAATCATACCACACCTTCTTATTTTTAGATCATGTTAATTTTCAGACAGCCTGACAAATCTCATTGTACAATGTTACAAAACAAGTCTTTATTTTTGGTTTTAGTTATTCCATTCAAATAATTTTCATAACAGTAATCAAATACATAAAATAAAACTTGTTAAGATTGTTATTTAAGAATTTATAAAAAATTTTCAAATTAGTTTTCTTACTTTATCATTAAAAAAGCCATTAAAAATATAAAAGTTCGTCAAATGCATATTATGCTCAGAAATATAAAGAACTTTATGAAAATGTAGAAACTGGTTTCAGACTACATTATGCAAAACTTGTATTTTCTCCTAACAATGCATAATCTAAGTCCCATAAGAAACGTCTCATTTTGCATTGATTTCAAAATTAAATCATTCAGTAAATACTAAATTCATAAAATACTAATAATATACTATATTAACATTAAATTATATCAGTTATTTCACTTTTTGTGTCAATTCAATAAAGTCATCCCTATTTCTCTGGTGAAATGGGTCTTTTTGTCGGATCAAAATTTCACTTTATCTGCCAATCATAGTTCCACTTTAAATTAAATATCCATAAATAAATCTCAACATCTCCATCCTTGAATCTGAAACTCTATTTGACCGGAGAAAGTGAAAGTTTATGTAAATGTCTCTTTCCTGTCCTCCTTCTATTGTTGGTTTTCTTAGGACTTAATGGGTCGTCTGATTCTTCACTCTCAGCCTCAACTTGACTGTTGGTCTCTGAAAATGAAAGGATAAATACATTATAATGTTAAAATTAACTTATATATGTTTAGGGCTATTCAAGGAAAAAATGTATGGGTGTTGAATAAGACATTTCTTTTCCCCACCACCCATAATTATTTATTTCATTTGCAACCAGAATTGTATTTGCTTCCACCTTTTTTACCCACAAAGAAATATTATGTGGTGTCTAACAACTTCCCATATATTTTTCCTGAAAAAGCCCTTACCTTTTAATACCCTCATCATAAAATGTAACAATTATAAAAATCATGATTTTCATCTCAGGCATACATGTATTTCTATGAAAAACACCCAAAATTATAAAATAAGACAATTGGCATTGATCATTTCAAGATAGACTAATTACAATCTATTTGCTTGTTGATGAGTTTGGGGTAATACAAGATGTGGATAGAATGATCATTTCTAATTCTTGACGCTTTGTATAGACACATGAAATGTAAGAGGGTAAAACTTTGTTTACCACTCAACCATTTAGTCTTGATCAGTAATAATCAAAGATAAAAATTAAATTCATAACAAGAATTTGCACACGTTGTCTTAGGCTTTAAGCATACCCTGCTCATAATTCAAAGAACTGAACGCAGGAAGAAGTTTGAAAGATCTAAAGCACACATTCCAACTCATTGCTGTCAAGCTGCTGACCAAATATGACGTTATTCTGTCCAGAATTTCCTTGATAGTGTATGTACATAATACATGGAGATAGTTTAGTCAACGGTCTCTTAAACATCAATTTTTCTGATCATATGAAATTTTTTCAAAGTGGGTCTCATTGATATTCCAGACTGACAAGTATCAAAATTAATGTTCAAGTACAGACGATGCTGGTATTTTGGAAAACCTGATGGAAATCCATGTTTATCTAGATTCACTCTAAAATGCAAACAAAAGGTAAGAACTAACAGTACAGTTATCTCCCTTTATGTCCAGGAGATTTATATGTTTTTGAGTATTAAAACACTTACATGTATTCATTTTCTCACTCAAAACAAACATTATAGACTATGCTTTTTTTGCATCCAAAGTTCAGGAAAATTAGTGATCAGAGACACATACATGTGCATACCAAAATGAGAAATATACTACCCCCCCCCCCCCCCTAAATTTGACAGGCTGTACAGTGATCTATAGTTGTTCACATCCTTATCCTTTGTACTTGAAGGATAGTTGTTTCATTGTCCCCACAGGTCCTTATCTTTACATACCTTGCGAAGATTTGTCCATGTCAAACATTTCTATATCGCTTTCCTCGTCGGAACTGAAGGACAACTTGGGCTGAGGTTTTTGCCGTGCTCCCCGTCGTGGTGCTGGAGTTCTGTTTTCTTTGAACTCTTCATCACTATCACTGTCGACTTGACGTCGTTTACTCTTCTTTAACCCTTTGGCTGAAATACAAAATGTAAGCATTACTAAAGTTATCATAGATGCTGGACTTATTGACATAATATTAATTTTGAAAACTTAAAATCAAAGCATTATGAAGTGTAGGTTGACAAAACATTACCTAATTTCCACTTTAACACACTCTCCCCCTTATGAAGCAAGTTCAAGATGGGTCAATATCGTCCCTACATTTCCATCAAATTTAAATGTAGTAATTATAGTAATCTGATGAAAATATATGTAAAAATAGCTGCTAACACATTCCCTCAGAATTAAGACACTGTGACATGATACTATGACTAAATTCAGGTAGAGTTTGTTTCAGATGACATTTGCCACTTGCACAGACCAACATTAGTTTTTTAATATCTATCCTGTCTACTTTTTCAAGTCTGTCCCTACTCCTTTGACCTTCTAACAATTGGTTTTGTACTGAAAAATCACCTCTGGGCAAAAAAACAAAAAATTCTTTGTATCATAGGCCTACATGTATAAGATGTTTATCAAAGGAATTGTGGTTGTTTAATTTCTATGCAAAATAATTCAAAATAACTTTACCCACAATGTTGTTTTTCTCAAAGACTTTCTTTTATTTAATACTTATGCCAACAGCTAAAAATTTAACAATTATACCAAGCATAATGTTTAATATTACTTAAGACATAAATTAAATGGTACAAAGAAATTCAAGGGTCAAAGACCAAACTGATAAACTAGATACTTTTGTACATACCACCTGAAAACAGGAATTTCTTTATAAGATAAGCATAGAATACAAAGAAAAGAACCGCTCCACTTAAAAGTAAATGAAAATCCTACAAATTTAACTGAATGCCAACAAATGTTTAGCCTAACTTTATATGAAAACATTGTAGAAATAATGTATTAAGGGCTTTTCAATAGCTACAATGTAATGCTGTATTATGTAGAATATTCCATAAAAGTGTTAGTGTTTACTCAGAATAATTGTTTTTGCTAAAATTAGGGTTAAAAGTTTAAAGTACTTGACAAATAAATAAAAATGTATACATGAGTATTACCTTTTCAAATGGACTGACTAACCATAAATATCTTAATTTACTTAATAATTATGTTTGTTAAAGCTACTGTTGGATCAATGTTATTTGTGGTGTACCAATATTTATTGATTTCACGGGATAAACGGGAAGCCACAAATTTAAACATTCAACGAAGTATAAATTTTCTATAGGCTTTTTACAAACTTTTGCAAAATCACAAGATCAAATATCTACTAAAATACAATTTTTCTCTATCCATGAAAAATTGGTAGCCACGAAAATAAATGAATCCAGATTATTCCAAACTTGTCTAAAAATAAAAGCCTTGTTATCACTCCTTAAATCGTTTATTTTTTGGTCAATGGAAAAGTCTCAATGAATTCCCTTTCAAAAGTCAAAACCTTTCAGAGTATAACAGAAAAATAAAACAACAGACATACTAAAAGTTTTCAAACAAGAGGAGGGAATAAAATATATTACAGCACACCAATAAAAAATTCTGTGCAGAAGAAGAAGCAATGTATCATTAGTTTAAAGCAGTTAGTGCAAAGCCAATTATGTTATTTTTGCAATCTCAATTTGCTTACCCTTCTGGAATTTCATCTCTCGTACCATTTTTTAGGGTGTGATCTTTTCACTGAAAAAGTTATATTCTCAAAGTTTCAATAAAAATTTAGCTCAGCAGTAAGGAATAGGTGCAGTTTAACATTTTTCCCCAGAAAATCAGTTGTTTAGTTTTGTTTTTTCAATCATGTGTCTTAAATGAAATTTCAAAAATTTCACCAGTTGATTATTAACAGCCAAATTGTTAATATTTTAGATAGAATGAAAACTAACTTATTTTGACTTTTCAAATTATATTTTTCTTACTTTAAAGTATCATTCGTGCTTTAAAAAAAAGAAGATCATTTAAATTCTTTTAAAATTCATATCAATTTCATTGGACAAAATGCAAATTAGTCTTGTACAAGTGTTCTATTTATAGAGCTGATGAAATTTTTGAAGGGTAATATTGAGAGTTAAGCAAAAGCAACATGCAACATATAGTAAATTCTACAGCGACAGAAAAAGCCTCTTTTGGATATAATCCATATATTAATAGTTACATACTACTTGTGTACAAAATTGGCAGATAACTTTTTCTGCCCAGTCAAGGAAATCCTTTATCTGTTCTGATTTATTACATTTATTGAAAATGTAAAGGGTTTGAAATTCTTATGGGTATGCAATCATACATCTATCCATAGATTCATTTTGCACCAGTACAAAAACAGTCAAACAGACATAATGCAAACTTGATTTGTATCATGTTATGTTACTCATTATTATACACAGGTACACACAATCTGTCAACTTAAGAAAAAATGCAAACTGAGGTTTAAGTCCTAATCATGCATTATATAACTATACACTTTTATGTCACAGTTCTTTATGATTTTTTTTGTTGTATTATACAGCCATGCACCAAAAATTAGCTCAAGATCAGCAGACATTACATCAAAAGTCCAGACAAGAACAATTTTCATGAAATTTTCTCAACGTGGGCAGTAATTCCATGAAAATTCCGTCCAAACTCAATCTGAAGTCATCAATATAACTAATGTACCAAAAACTGGCTTAATATCTGTTAGTCGGGACAACTGTTTGATTCCAGAAGGATGAACAAGGATAACACGACGTGCCATGGCCACTTAGTTGGAGGGGGTTAAATATTTCTACATGACCATAGTACAGATTTAGCCTATTAACAAAAAGACCTGCTGAACATCCATGGTCCATCTTTTTCTTTAAACAGTTGGAGGCAATTCATAAAAAAAAAAAAAAAACAAACTAGAAACAACATTTCATGGAAAAGCATCCTACTCTTTGTTATCCAAACAATTGTAATGTATGAGGTTTGTCATACAGAAATACAGAAAAGGATTAAAATTTGAAAAATAAACAGCCTAACGGTAATGATTCTTTGTTTAATACAATAAAATGCTCTTCCATGTTATAACCTCAACAATATATTAAACATTATATAAATGTAACCATTACCTGGTGTTTTTCCTGTTTTTCCACCTTTCTTTTTATGTTTCTGTGTATCAGCTGCCGCATCTGAAGCCTGACTGGCTTTATGTGCTATTTCTTCTTCCTCTAAACCTTTCTGGTGACAAAGTTCTATTCTCTGTTCAAGTTCATCCAGTAAAGCCTACAAAATAGTCAAAATTCAAAAGGTTAATGGAAATATTCATCTAACATCTGTTTAAAATAGTGAGTCCATATAAAATTTATATGATTCTTCTTATCTGGTTTTTAAAATCATAAGCCAGAGATTTAATTCATTTTATTAACAAGCTAAGTAAAATTTTTAGTTTGCTGAGATTATTCAAACAAGCTATATCTCACTTTAAAGTAAAATTTTTAGTTTGCTGAGATTATTCAAACAAGCTATATCTCATTTTACCATGGATTTGGAAACTAAAAATATATTCTTAATGTCTTCCTCAGGAAAATACAACCACTACCACCAATTATGTTTTAAAAGCCTCCAATCACTTTCTCTCCAATACAAATATTTATAGAACAAACCTTTATACATATACTGTTAATCAACCTATTTTTGCTTTTAGCCCTTTTTACCTAAATTCACAGGGATTTATTTATTTTTTTATTTTCTTACTGAGTTGATTCTCATATAAGAAAAAAATAAAGTTTGACATATTAGTGATGATTTCTTTTCACGTAAACTTTCTACTCACGACTGTGAGTTGATTTTAATACAGTAAACAAATATATGAAAAAAAATTTAAACAATTTAAGCCCTAAATAAAACTCAAATTAAAAAAACTCAGCATTGACGCTACAAATACCTTCATATCAGGTTTAGCAAAACTCTTAGATTTGGAAAGAATTTGACAGAACATTCCATAAACATCATCGTCTGCCAACTTGTCCCCAAAGCAGGTAAAATTCTCCTGTAGTTTGCGTAACCCTTTGATACTATAGGACAGCATGGATAAACAGAATGATAGATCTCTCCACTGACGGTCAGTTCTGAAATGAAACATTTATGTTTTTGTTTGTTTCAATAAAAAATTTTGATATTATAAACAAGCAAGAACGGATGAATTTTTTGACTTGGCACTGTCATGTGATCAATAAAAAGACAAGAATGTACAAAATTCATCCCATGATTTCCTTAGCAAAAAGATCATTTTATACTTCAGTGCAATATTGGACTTGAGTTGAAGAGTATAACAAAAGAGTATATATTGTAATATTTTTGGCTCATTATTATTTTTTTTGTTAACATATAGATTATTCAAATTGAATAAAGGTCACTAGAAGTTAAGAACAAAGATTCAAGCAATCAAAGTAAGTAGAAAAACTTACGTTGTAGCTCTAAATCTGTGACATAATTTTTCGACTAAACTCTCACACTGTTTATCTTTCTGTATAAAAGAGAACAAGTACCTGAAAAAAGAATAATTAGTTAAAGACAAAACAATTAAAGATTTCTCCAATAACTCTTTTACGTCTCCAATTACGACACTTCAAAATGCACTATAAAGATTTTGAAACCATTCCTAATTCTCGTTCTATTCTGAAGTTAAATGTAGGAAATATTATGCACAATAGTTCCCTCATGTAGAAATTCAAAATGCATATTTTCCTAATGCAGACCCAAAATTAGTCTGCTATAATTTTATACATATCTTGCACAACCTTTTTGTGATAAAAAAATAAGACAGAAAAACTATCCTGCAAGTATAGATCCTAAAAACACAATTCAGCATAATGTTTTAAATAAACTGCATTTAAACAGTAGCCTATTTCTACTGGTATTTTTTTCGATAGGACATTCTGCTTTGGAAAATTATATTCAATTTACAACTAGATGTGTCGGAATGACACGAATGGCCCTGTCTCAAAAAGTTGAAAAATCTGCAATTTCAACAACACATGTAGACACAAACATGCAAGGATAGTATCCAGCTCTCAAGACCAATACTAGTTTGATGAAAAATTTCCTTGATCAATGAGAAGTTAAATTTCAAACTATCAGCAAACAGGAAGTGGATGATGTACTGCAGATCTAACAAGAGATGTTGAAACAAGGAAATCAGCATAGCGTCACGAAGCATTAAACTTGATCTGTAACTAATCATGGTAGACTCACATATCAAAAATCAGCACAAAATCTGTAGGCGTATAGAAAAAAGTCCTTATAACTGTGATTTTCAACAATTGATCAAAGTCCAAAACCCGTAATTTTGGTAAAAATTAGCAGAGCGGAACGAAACTTAAACTTGATCTGTAACACATCATGGTTATTAAACTCACATACAAAAAATCAGCTTTATAATATCTGAAGGTGTTTAGAAAAAAATTGTGTATAATGGTTTGTTGTGGAATGATTAAATGACGGACAAGGGTAAAACTATATAGCCCCAACAACTTTGTTGCGGGGCCATAAAAATCATAACAATGCTAAATATCCATCTAAGATACATGTAAAACATAGATTTCTACTCACTTCATGATAGTTCGAAAATTTTCTTCATCAACCCCAATATCTGGATCTGATAAACGACTGATGACATCTGGCATGATATTATATACAGCATTACCCTAAAATACAATTAGGAGAGTTATATTATTCTAATGCAGTATGATATTTAACACCATTTTTGACTCGAGTCATTGAAAAAAATGTTGTGGAATCCCTGTGATATTCCAATTGTTTTGAATTCTTTAAGAATAACAGTTCTTTAGTTCAAGTGTTGCCATTGCTACATTTGGTTTTCACTATGCAACTCTTCAAATACAGTCGTGTTCCTTTAGGGTCTTTGAATATTTGAACCAGATAACCTACTTATGACCCCTTATATACTAGAAACACAATAACCCTTTTCGAAAAAAGTTAATAGGGGAAATCTATCAGTTAACAGTTTGTAAGAGGTCAAGAAGGTAGATGTCAAAACTAAACCTGAGAGGTCCCTAAAACATTACTGTTTTATTGGATAACTGTTCTCTATTATTCATATTTACCTTCTTTGACAGTTCAGAGAAGAACAATTTTGCCAATCCAGAGATTCTTTCATCATCATCTACAATACACATGGCCATCTCACTGATCTGACCTTTGACCTTCACCATATCATTTAAGATAAGATGAGTCAGAATCTGCATGGTGTTCTTTCTTACATGAGTTGATGTGTCTCTCAGTCTATAAAAAATAAACTACTATAAGGGATGTTTCAGAATAAATGTACAGAATTAACCATAATCTTTAAAACTTTTATTTGCATCAATATTTGGGCTTGATGCTTAGATCAAGCAAAATTCAATTCAGATAATCTTATCTAAATATAATGTAACTAATAGTGATTTGTGGGAAGAATATATATATCTGTACACAAAGAATTTTGGTTCAATTTACTATCAATACTTTTATTCCAAGATATTACATATTTATTTCCAATGCCTGAGGGAGATATGAAGATTTGTTCACCTAAGAAAAATTCATATTTCATGAGGGCATCGCCCGAGGGTAACATGACTTTTTGAGGGTTAACCAATCTTCATATCTCCCTAAGCCAAGGGAAATAATTGTTTTATTCCACTACCTATACTATTTTTACTTCCTGAACATAAGATATTTTCAAATACATATTTCTTTTTCTTACCCGCGTCTTTTTATAACAACAATGATAATCAGTACCAATCAAAATTTAATCATTAATTCTTTTTGTTTTGTTTTTTAGATCTGAAATAATTTTGAAAACAAAATTACTATACTATAGATCTGAAATAATTTTGAAAACAAAATTACTATACTATCTCTAAAAAAAAGTTCAAATCATTATAAACATTAACCGCACGTAAAGTCGCACATTGAAGTCCCGACGTTCAGAGGGGAATATGAAGTTTTATTCGACGTCATGTGGGATAGTCTCAACCAATCAAATATTGATTTCGTTATCAATATTAAGATGCAGTCGAATAAAACTTTTTATATTTTCCAAATAGTGGTTTTAACTTCAACACAATCAAAGGGAAATATTTTGTTGAGTACTACAAATATTCCAAACAATTGACTATCCCATCACCAGTAAAATATTGTCATACAGTCAAAGAGAGGATTACTGGGTGTTGAAGTAGTGTGAACATTATACCTTCCATAAATGTGTGCTGTCCATGGCTCAATCAAGTTAGGGAACCTGAATGTGAGATCTCCTAGAGCAATTATTGTGTTGGCCCTGATGACTGGGTTAGATGATTTCTCCAGGATAGTAAACAACAACTGCAGGTTATCTTCACAAAATGAGGAACTGAAAAATAGAAAAGTTGTAAAAACATTTAACTGAGACTACCCGAGACTTGCCATCAGATTTCCTCATTGGTTATCAAGTATATAGCAACATATGCATTAATGCATGTTCCACATGAATAAATCAATGTGCCTTGGTTAGAAAATTTGTTATATCTTTAGTATTAATATGACACCCTTCTTTTGCTTTGTCCATGAAAATCATGTTCTAATTCCTACAACGTGTAGTACACATTCATGGAAGTCACAATTAAATTCTCAACATCATTTGCATTTTGAACAATGTTGGAGACAAAAAGTGGACCTCTTTCTGGAAGTTACTTGCAATGAAAATCAATAAAAAGTTTTTAAAAGTTATTCTATATGTTTTTTACACATTTAATTGTGAAAAGTTAAATCACAAAAATACTGAACTCCCGAGGAAAATTCAAAACAAAAAGTCCCTAATCAAACGGCAAAATCAAAAGCACAAACACATCAAATGAATGGACAACAACTGTCATATTCCTGACTTGTGAAACACTTTTGCATCATCAAATCATTATGACTGCCTGTTTGGCTAAGGGCTATTCCATTAAAAAGAATGTACCAGGGTCGGACGGCAATTATAAAAAATCCCGTTGGTTGTTGATGTGTTGAAGCGTGTATGGCCAGTGGCCCTTGGTGTTTAGAGAAACTTAGTATTGTTGGTTGTTGGTCTTCTTTGACAGTCATTTTTCGTGACTGTCGGTTTCAATGTGTTATTTTCCGTTTTTTATTATTATTTGTTTTTGCAAGGACTTATATAACCGATTGTTTTTGTTTCCTGCTCTTATCGTGATATTTTGGAAAACATAACTGTTCCCGCGACTTACGCAGCGGCAGGCGCAACGTTGTATTCTACCTATGGTACCAGTTCCGGAAGTGCAAGAGTTACTTCCCTTTAATGACAAGCACATGGCGAACGATGTCAAATTCTATTGAAAATAATATTCGGAGGTTCAAATTAGCGGTGGTCCGAGGTCCGCAACCTTCCACTATTGCAATTGGACTTTCGTTTGGTTACTAGCTAGGCCCAACGGACCTTCGATTTGAAAGAAAATAAAAATTAACTTTGACAACCTTTTTAACCATCAGTATGGTCATTTTAAAGCCATATTACTATTGAGATCGTACACCCCTCCAGGGATTTTTCTAGCATTCCACAGGGTCCAAATACCGGACCCATTCCTATTGGCAATGGCAAATACCCTACGTTTTTCCCAATTTTCAATTTGGGACCAAAACTTCAAAACGATCTCAAAATTTATTTTTATCTTTATTATTCATGATAGCGATGCTCAGTTTGTTCAACCGCTAGCTTTATACTGAAAATTGCCAACAAGTAATGTGTAAATACGAGTAATATCATATCTGACTGACAAAAACAACATTGAAAAACAATGGATGCCATAAACCGGAAATGAAGACGATTACAATACCGGATCAGATTCCGGGGTCGGATAAGGGTAATTCCGGGTTGCCGATCAAATACAATAAAAAAAAAAATAATTCCAGGCAGGTGACAAAATACATCTATGATGATGAAATATAAACACTAGAATTGAAAACCAAAAGATATATGGAAAAGAAAGAAAAAGCATGAAATATTTTATACAGAAACTCAAAATAACTTTTAGTTCACAAATTTTCATGTCAAAATCCAATGAAATGTGACAGTAATTTTCTTTATCATTAATAAATGTTGATATTACATGTAGATGTTTTTATAGAGTATACATATATCTTCAATTCCAAGAGGTCATTTCTTCTCAATTTTGAACGGCCAGTAAAAATTTGGAAGTTTCTTACTTTATTTTTACAGAGCTAATATAATAGTGCAACTAGATATGATACATTTAAACTAGGGATGTCAACGAGTACTCGAGTACTCGAGTATCGCTCGGTAGTACCGAGTATCGAGTACCAAAATGATACTCGACTAATCGGTTTCCTGTTAGAATAATGTTGCTTTCTTAAGTTTAAACAAAACATATTTTATTGAGAGCGAATCCCGGGAAATTATATATTAATCAAAGTTAATAATCAAAGAGCTGAAAGCTCTGAGGAAAAATGACGCCACTGTCTCTAATATTGTGATATTTTTTATGCAAGTCTTGATTTTCACATACCGTAATTAGTTTAACATTCCAACATGTCTCGTAAGCATATAATTGATATTCGTATATGTGTGTGTTATGTGAAGATGACAACTGGCTGTTTTTTTTAGTACAAATGTATAGGTCAAGACTACCTGAATGATCTACAGTATCCAATGACTACTGGCTGTTTTTTTTCTATAAATAAATAGGTCAAGACTACCAGAATGATCTACAATATCCAATGACTACTGGCTGTTCTTTTGTACATATAAATAAAGACTACCTGAATGATCTAAAGTATTCTAAATAATGTGATTGTTGTCTTGCAATTACATTTTTCTAAATCAAGAATATAGACTACAAGTATCCTTTTCAAACCAAATGATTATGAAGAGCCTGTTGTTATCAAGCTCTTATACCCCACATACATATACTCATTAAATAAGTTACTAGTGACCTAGTTATTTCTGTTACTTGAAGCAAATTATATTTCTGTAGATTTAGACAATAGTATAATATTGTTTTACTAGTTTTATTTCACCTTGAAGATTAGACAAATAGGGATACTCCTTTGATTTTTTATTTCATGTCAGTCAGGTCGCTTTATATGAAACCTGAAACCACTTCTCTGCCATATTGTTATTTCATAACAACTCTGCCCTTGACCATGTTGACCCATGTAATTGATATTCATTCTTTAACCATATATCATAGTCAGTTAGTTTTTGATTTTGCACTCCCACACCACCTTTCAGGTCAAATGTCTGTCTCCATTTAAGTTAATGACATTGAACAATCATGGTATTAAACACAATTTCAATAGTGATAATGCTGTTCTAGTAAGTCACCATCTATTCAACTTGGGTAGCATTCCAGTTATTGAAATTTGTGTCAGATTAGAACAATGATCTAGACCTTTAGGAATGGATCTTACAATTTAATATGGAGCCATAGTATGGGACCCCTACACGGTAACAAAAAAAAAACAAGCTTGAAAGGATACAACGTCAAGCGGCAAAATCTATCACCAGAAATTACAAGTGAAGAGAGGATGGACGGGATACGTCTCTAAAATGCTTGCCTAACTGGAACTACAACAAGATCTCCAGACAAGACGAACTAGGAGTTGAAGCCAGAAGTTAATATTAATGTAAAAAAGTAGTTGAGGGGCTGATTCCCGCTATTGAACCATACTGTCATTCTATAATATTATTGTGTAAGTATTTCTGTATTGTCCTTGTTATTGGTCCATGTCTTGGTGTACTGCTGGCCGAGGACCAACAATAAGGCCAATACAGAAATACATGTAATAGTATCTTTATTAATTAACTACAGTGTTACAATATTTTTTTATTTCATTTCACAAGAGATAAACATTTTTACCTTGAAGTGGAACTATCCAAATCTCAGTTTCTTTTTATAAGATGCAATATCTAATGATTTGGTGCCGTTTCCATGTATCTTCAGCCTGTTCTCATCTGATGAATTTTTCTACCCTTTCCAGTCACTATAAAGTGTTACAACTTTAATTTAGACACAACACATAAATAGTAATTGGAAAGGTACTGCCATTGCATGTGTAATGCAAATATATTTAACAAAAAATAATGTAAGAGTTGAAATTGATACAACTATCCATAAGCAAATTGACCAAAGAACGAAGATTTGCGCAATTACAGAATGCATATGCCTGGTTCGGGTTTAAAAATAAAAGACCGTTTACAAAACATGAGAAGCGAAAGTAAACAGTAAAAATCGATTTGTACCATCGACATGATGAAATTATGAGGTCGTCAAGAAATGAACTTTGTGATAATTTACTCGTTCCCCAAACCTGAAATAATTCCATCGTCTACTTTCAAAATGCTTTTCAAATGAATGGGACCGTCTTTAACCTAAAATATATGCCATACTGAACGTTTCAGCTTGTTTATGGTGAGTAAATAAAAACTGCGTCGTACAAACAACTGTTTACTTTCAGTTTGAGTTCATCCTGACTTACGATCTAAAAACTAGAGACGTTCCGAAATCCTGTTTTGGCCGGATCAGAACTCGGCCAATACGGAAAAAAAATCTGTATTGGCCGAGTTGACATCTTAAATTGCATATGCAGTTTTCATCATATTAAGTACAATAACAGTGTAGTTAATTAATAATGAAACAGTTACAGACTCTGCTGCTATAACTTTGTAAACAAAGATTCATACGCACCGCGTGGGTATAACCGTATTACTAATTTCCGATTATTAAAATCTTCGTAAATCTGGATAAAGACCAGTTTCTATCCAATGGATATCAAAATGATTCCGATTATTACTTTTTTAATGATTGTAAAGTTGAAATGGCATGAAAGGCTGACATTATTTAGGAGAACTATTTTGTCTAGCGATTGCTGATCATTGGAGGGTAAAAAGTCCAACACCATAACAAAACGGATCTATTTATCATGTATACATACCGATTGTTTACGATTGTATGACATGTGCATAAAAGTGAAAGCTCGAATAAATATGAAAAATATAACAAAGGGATAGCTCCAAATACCATTTAATAACAAAAAACATATGGACAGGTCAAGATATCTTTTTGGTAAATAAAATAACGTATGTAAACTGGTTCCGTCCGACTACAACACTTAGTTCGAGTGTAGCGTAATACAAGCAGATTCCAGTTAGTAATAGTATGTAAAATAGTAAATATGAAACCGAGTGCGGTAGGCGGAGGCATAATCAACTTCCGTTAGTTCTGGTCAATGGTATCGGAAACATGCCGCTGATAGCGTCATTTTCCAAAAATTAAAATACTATTCTAATGTATGCGTTTAACTGTCATTCAAAATTCCTTCAAACAGAGGTACATGTATGATATATGAACAAGAATATTTTTCAAAGGCTTACACTTTTAGCTTATCTTAGTCTCTCCCCCACCTCTGTACCGTCAGAGCATGCATTTTCATCAGCAGGACTATTAGTTACCTAACAAATCTGAGAAATCGCTACAAGATAATATTTTTAAATAAGAACAAATTCGTTGCACCCTGTGTCGACCCTAAGAAAATGATAAATGGCATCAGTAAGTTCTAATCACCACCCCTTTGTCGATCATTAAATGTGTTTTTGTACGGTTCACAAATACTGTTGCTTGAGTAATAATTTTTCTATAGATATTAATTAATTACTTGATTAGATTATTACCAGTTTACATAATTAGTGCATGTAGTAAATGAGCTATTAATTATGGTATAAAATTCCTTTGACTATTATCTCTGCCTAGGTAATAATGTTGAGGGTTTTACGATCATAAGACAACCACCCACAAAACATAAATGGTATAATTTTGTGTTTCCATTTTGTAAATGTTTTACCGAGCGAGTACTCGAGTATCGCTCGGTAAATCCAACGAGTAATCGATTAGTAAATCTTCACCGAGTTGACATCCCTAATTTAAACAGCTTTGAATTTGAACTATTACTTTAATTGAATACTCGGGTATGAATTGAACAATATAAAAAAAAAGAGATACAAATAGCCCTTTATATCATAGTAATAACCAAACATTGTAGCTCCTTGACCCTGTCCACCCCCTCCAAATTGTCCAGCAACTATAATGTTTAAATAACAATTCCTTTGGTTGTGGTAAATTAGAATAAAATAAGTTAGATATATTCCAGTTGGTTCTTGTATTATTATGAAATGACTTCCTGTTGGTTGGTGTTAAGATACATGGTACATTCCTCTTGGTCATGGGGGTACTTAAAAATTGCCTTCCGACCCTAGTACCTCCTTTTTAATGGAATAGCCCTAAAGTTTAGTATAAAGATAATGACAAATACTATGCCTTCCATGTTAAAACGAGCATAAAAAATGACAAACATTATTTCTTAATAAAACATAATTTCTATATCACTTATGAATGACTAGAAACAGTTATACCAACCTGACCATCATGAACTTTGACATTGCCATGGTAGCTGCTGTTCTCAGTTGTGGACTGGAATATTTAGTCTGGTTCTGACAAATGGTAACCAGTAATGGTCCCAGTATTCCAAGCAAGTTATTTCCTGATAGAAAAAAATATAATTAACATAATGAATACATCAGAAAAATCTAAATCCCCTCTTCTCTACATTAAAGAGGTATTACTTTAATATATGAGAAACTTTTTTAAAAATGCCAATTCATAAAAAAAATATTCATGTAAAAATATGGGCTGTTTTCACAAATAAAATCCTTAAACTATAAAATCAAATGAAATCAGATTTGTATACCTGTGACAATTTCCTGCTCACATATTCTCCTGATATATTCCACCTCAGCATCCTCAGCAGCTGCCCCTGCCAAACCAAGTTCATCTTCTATAGCCTCACTTTCTATTCTAGACTACAATTAATAATACATAACATAATTATTTTTTATACCCCGGTCAATATTTAAAGGAAAATTCTGAAAATTTAAGTACGAAATATCAATACCTATATGACTTTTTAAAATATTTTCATTTTATTTTAGAAATTGAGTTACTGTTCCATTGAAGTCTACCCTTCATTTTTCATTGGACCGGCAATATCATCATTTTCAATCAGGGCTTCCAAAACCGTTGTATTTTCCGAACATGACCGATAAATTATAAATATGACTTGTTGTGCCAAACCCGAAACTGACATTTAAAGGAGACTTGACACGATTTTTAATTATTCTATTTTTTTTTTATTAAATTGATAAATATTAGTCTTAAAACATATTTTGTACAATTTTGCTAGTCAAAACCTGATCAATCGGCATTTTATAGGTCAAAGAATCCAGTGCTTGTCATAATGAATGATTTTTAATTAGATAACGATCACATGATCGTGCTTACGTCAGTGGTTACAAGCTGGGAAAATGTCTCTTACTGTGGTAACAATCCGATCGGTATTGTCTGAAAGATCGTCGTTGTTGGACTTTTCGCATGAAGAATTGATATCCTTTTCTTGGTTATTTTCCACACACAATGGCTCAAATTGTTGAGGTCAATTGTCTTTGTAGTTTGTCAGTAATCGGGAAAAGTGCTTTCAATACCGTCCATAGTGTATCGACTTCGTCATATAGGTTTGTCTGATGAATAAATTTAATAAACCGCTTTCCTCATTTTTTTATTTATTCAAATAAAACTACTTTTAATCATGATTCAAAATATAAATTTTATTATTGATGATCAAATTGTTCTTTTTTCTCTCTGTTACGGTAATGTTATAATTATTTGTGCGCCCGAAGCAGAAAGAAAAGAAAAAATAAAATGCTCCGCTGGGGCGCAGCTTGATACGACCGCAGAGGTCGAACCCTGAACAGTTGGGGCAAGTATGGACACAACATTCAAGCTTGATACAGCACTGAATTTGGATTGTAATTAAATATTTGACACAGCATAGGTTTCTGACACAGAATGAAAGTGGTCTAAGAACTTAAAAATTTTCAATTTACCTATTCATACATGTGATGGGACTGTGAAACTCAGATCAGGAGATTGGGAAATTTTGGTCAGGAGATTAGGACTCAGATCAGGAGGTTTTTAATCGACATTAATTTTGTTGTAAATGTAACCGTGTGCTGTAAAAATGGTCTTTTAAAGTGTGTTTTCTTCAACTTTCCAACCAATTTATTATGTTTATAGTACCCTTGTACTTATAAAGTTTCTCCATCTTTATATTCTACATGTTCAATCTAACATTGTTTTTTTCCAGTATGTTCTTTAAATTTTTTACTTCATATTCTATAAAACAATCATTGCAACCAGAACATTTGTTTAGCTGTCTGCAAATAGTTTTTATTTTTTTTTTTTTTCTCTTGCAAATAGTTTTTATTTGCAAACTCAGAAATTCATTCTATCTGTAATGTTAGGGTCATAGTTATTATATAAATTTCAATTTAAGCCTTAAAAGGAAGTATAGAATCCTCAAATAATTTTCAAATTATTATTTTTTTATTTGTCCTAAGACATTTAAAATCATTTAATAACCATCCTTTTATGATTATTTGTTCAATTTATATTTTATTTATATTCTTTTAAAAATTTTCATTATTAAAAGGAAAGTAACTTAAAACAGGATAAATCAAGGGAAGTAACCCAATAAATACACAGTTTTTGTTACACAACGGCAGTTAGCCTGAGGTAAAAATCGTTGCTTACCAGTATGTTTGACACCCAAGCTGACAAGTGAAGCCATATAATTATGCATGTTAATTGATTTACAGGTAAAATATAACTTCAGGTAATGTCAGTTACACCAGATGCCTGAGATGTTATGTTGGGCAGAAATTTTTCATTCATGAAAAATTTCATACACGGGATTTTTTCAACGGGAGGGGGGGAGGAGACCCCTGAAAACGGGATTATTGTACTCCCGTCGGGAGGTTCACATGTATGCCTATTCAAACCATATCATTATTATTTGCTTTTATATATAAATCAGAAATAACCAATTTAAAATGGAAAATGTTAAAGAAAAAAAGGAAAACCCCCCCCCCCCCTCCCCCCAATTTTTTGAACCCCCTTATGATTCATCGCCCCCAAACTCAATCCCAGCTTTCCCCTTGTGGTATGGTACCTTGCAGTACAATTTCAGAGAGATTCATACACTTGAACACAAGTTATTGTCTGGAAACTAGAAAAATGCTTGTTTTTTGGCCCCTTTTTGGCCCCAAATTCCTAAACGTTTAGGGCAATTACCCCCAAACTCAATTCCAGCTTTCCCTTTGTGATATGGAACCTTGCAGTACAATTTCATAAAGATCCATACACTTACACACAAGTTATTGTCCTGAAACTAGAAAAATGCATGTTTTTTTTGCCCTTTTATGGCCCCTAATTACTAAAATTTTGAGGGAAAACCCCCAAAATCAATCCCAGCCTTCCCTTTGTGATATGGAACCTTGTAGTACAATTTCATAAACATCCATACACTTACAAACAAGTTATTGTCATGAAACTAGAAAAATGCTTGTTTTTTGCCCCTTTTTGGCCCCTAATTCCTAAAATTTGGAGACAATTACCCCCAAAATCAATCCCAGCATTCCCTTTGTGATATGGAACCTTGTGGTACAATGTCAGAGAGATCCATACACTTACACACAAGTTATGTCTGGAAGTTACAAAAATGCTTATTTTTGGCCCCTTTTGGCCCCTAATTCCTTAACTGTTAGTACCATAACCCCCAAAATCAATCCCCACCTTCCTTTTGTGGTATTGAACCTTATGGTAAAATTTCAATGAGATCCATTCACTTAAACTAAAGTTAGAGTGCGAAAACTAATGTGTATTCGGACGACGACGCCGGACGACGACGACGACGCCAACGTCATACCAATATACGACCACAAAAAATTTTTTGCGGTCGTATAAAAAGGATAGTAAAAGTAAAACAAGAGTGCACACGCTGAAATGTCTCGCCTTCTTTACTAACCATTGATATTATGTTGATAGTCCTAAATGAAAGCTTTACTACAACTATTACATAAACTTAACATGATCCAAGAAAATGAAGTCAAGGTCATATAAACCAAACGAGAAATACATGTACACCTTACAATCATTCAATACACTAAATATAGTTGACCTATTGCTTATAGTTTCTAAGAAACAGACTTAACCAAGAAAACTAAACATTGACCAATGAATCGTGAAAATGAGGTCAAGGTCAGATGAACCATGCCAGGCAGACATGAACAGCTTACAATCCTTCCATACAACAAATATAGTTGACCTATTGCTTATAGTTTAAGAAAAACAGACTGAAACACATAAACTTAACACTGAGCAATGAACCGTGAAAATGAGGTCAAGGTCAAATAAAACCTGCGAGACTGACATGTACATCATAAAATATTTCCATACACCAAATATAGTTGACTTATTGCATATAGTATAAGAAAAAAGACCAAAACTCAAAAACTTAACTTTGACCACTGAACCATGAAAATGAGGTCAAAGTCAGATGACACCTGCCAGTTGGACATGTACACCTTACAATCATTCCATACACCAAATATAGAAGACCTATTGCATAAAGTATAAGAAAAACAGACCAAAACACAAAAACTAAACTATAACCACTGAACCATGAAAATGAGGTCAAGGTCAGATGACACCTGCCAGCTAGACATGTACACCTTACAATCATTCCATACACCAAATATAGTAGACCTATTGCATACAGTATAAGAAAAACAGACCAAAACACAAAAACTTAACTATAACCACTGAACCATGAAAATGAGGTCAAGGTCAGATGACACCTGCCAGTTGGACATGTACACCTTACAGTCCTTCCATACACCGAATATACTAGACCTATTGCTTATAGTATCTGAGATATGGACTTGACCACCAAAACTTAACCTTGTTCACTGATCAATGAAATGAGGTCGAGGTCAAGTGAAAACTGTCTGACAGGCATGAGGACCTTGCAAGGTACGCACATACCAAATATAGTTATCCTATTACTTATAATAAGAGAGAATTTAACATTACAAAAAATCTTAACTTTTTTTTAAAGTAGTCACTGAACCATGAAAATGAGGTCAAGGACATTGGACATGTGACTGACAGAAACTTCGTAACATGAGGCATCCATATACAAAGTATGAAGCATCCAGGTCTTCCACCTTCTAAAATATAAAGCTTTTAAGAAGTTAGCTAACGCCACCGCCGGATCACTATCCCTATGTCGAGCCTTCTGCGACAAAAGTCGCAGGCTCGACAATTATGCGTTGTCAAAGGGTACGTTTTTTGTTTTGTTTTGGTTACGGTGATACTTTTAATAGTTATAAACTGTCACCAAAAGTTATGGATATATTTTTTTTGGTTGGAAACCATACATCACGCCAAGGATTTGTATAGTGACAAATCCTTTATCACACTTTTTCTGCATTAGGATATTCAATTAACAATTTTATTACTTTCCCCCTTTTTATGTAAACAATTCAATATAATATTTTATTTACGTCTCACCTTATGTATAAAATTAAACAATACAAAACATTTATTGGAGGCTGTTGTATTAGTAATTAAATTTTGACACCTATAGCATACTTGACCAGGTGAAAGGTAAGAAGGCACCTGTAGTGTGATTTAGTCGCGTGTTATGTTATTTACCTTGAACTACTGTAGTCTTATGTTGAAATAATTAATATAGTTATATTACACTTCTAAAGTATGCAATTCCATCCAAACCCTTATAAATCTAACTTCAAATTTAAGGAATTACACAAAGTAAATTCAAGTTCACACATTTCCACCCTTCTCTTCCAAATATCATTTAGCAATCAATTTGTTTATTGCTACCAGCAAAATGCTTGAGTCCAGGAAAATATTCACAACTTAATATTTCTTTAAAAAGGGGTCATTTGAATAGATGTTAAATTTTCAATCGTACTGAGCATGAAAATGTTTACATGTTACACACTTCAGTCTTCGAATACATGAATTATGTATTATTTGTATTTGGCTTTGATCTAGCTTACATTATTTGTGTGTGTTATCTCTATTGTTTTTACGTTAGTGGTTTCTGTACTTCGTACCGATCTTTTGAGTTAGACTGGTTTTTATAGTTCTTATGTACTGCTGTAAGACCGCTATCACATGTTTGGAGCAAGGCTTCCAAAACTGTCATATATTCCGGACATTTGTATAATGTCCGGTAAAAGTCCGGCTGGGCAAAGCATGAAATGGACATCTACTTTTTAGTTTTCAAGGCTTAAGAGACGGTCATTTTAACATAATTCGCGATCTTTTTGACCCAACCTTTTGCCTTTAACAGCCACACATTTCCGGTCATAAAAGTGACATGATCATTAAGTACTATCAAAACAACCCCTACTTTAATACTTTCTCATTTTAATCAAGGCTAATTAGTTGTCGAACAGCTGAAATTACCTGTTCAGGTGACAGGTAAACTATTTTGAACCGGACATGATCGGTCTATTCAAAGTTATTTTCTTACATTTCAGCGGTTTGCATCTAATTAATTTAGTTAAAAAGATTAAATTACCAGAAATACGTTTACAAATATGATTTGATGAAAAAATTAAAAAGGTGAAAATGAAAAATCGTCATAACCACGTTGTTTGAATGAACCAGAGACATGTCTCTGTTTGAACTAGAACACGTGTGCGCAGGTGTGAAATTTAATTATGCATCCTAATTTCATCAAAAAATGCTTAAATTGTCATTGATACCTTTATCTCACGTTTATTTCGAATATTTTTTTGAAGAAATAACGTAGAAAGAGCTACTTACACTCATTCATGCTTTGCAAACGTACACGGAATTTATGTATCCGTCTCTGGTCCGTGTTTTACCATTGTCAAGATAACATCCCGTTTAGATTTAAAAACGAAAGTAAAGTTTTTGACAACGTTATTTTGCACAAATAAAGAGTCTAAGCAGATATAAGTACGCTGATGTTGCACACTTCGAATGATGCACTGCCAATTTAACAGTTTACGTCAGAACTTCGAATTTGAATCAAAGAAAGTTTTATATCGTTTTTTTTTTAATGTCAATCATTGGGATGACTCGGCAACTGATTACCATAATTGCCTTTTATTTATTTAGTCTGAAGGGATTAAAATCGGGATAATATATAAAATGTCCGGCTGGCTAAAAATAATTTTGGAAGCCCTGGTTTGGAGGGGGGTAGGCGCTCACAAACATATATCCACCCACCGACACATTGTGAATGTGCCTGTCTCAAATCAGGAGCATGTATATCAGTGGTTCATGTCTGTCAAATTTTTTCTGCGGAAATTATTTTGTTATAAATAAGTTAGTTTTATCGCTAAAATTGTTTCACATTTTCATGTTGAGAACTTTTATAACCGAATATACGGTATGAAGTTATAGACTTGCAAGCATACAGGAATATTACTTTTCCATCTCAAGAAGTCAATTAAAAAAATGCATCTGTTATAAACCTTTTTATATCTGCATATTCTTAAAAGCAATAAAAATAAGATCTATATACAGGTTGTCTATAATTAGTTATCAACGCTGGTTAGGGTATTTAATTGGTGGTGCATAGGGTATTGTATGGTCGTACTACATGCAGGTATTCATTAAACATCAGGTAGTTGTACCTGTATTACTGTAACAATAATATATTCCAATCTCAACTGTGCCCTCGGCAAAACCAACATCCAGGATGTACACAAAGAGCTTATGAAGTAATATTGCGTAATAACTATATCTTATCAATCCCCCACGTGGCGTGACACCTGAAGCTTGCAACTTCAAACGAGACCTGAAAGTGCGAAATCACCTGTACCGTTCACCTGTGACCTATGATGAACTCATGGTATGGCACACGAGGCCCCAACTCTGGATTCCTTATGAAAGTGGGCGGAAAAAAGTGTAGTTTGGGCTTGTTAAAATATCCTATCTTTACACCTTCTAAGTCCGCGTGTCATTCAAAAAACAGAAAATATCATGTCAATATTCTTTTTAATTATATTGTTGAATCCATCTGCATCACACATACTCATTTTTTTACCACTGTCATGCGTTTTGTTGGATAATAATTGGAACTAAATTTGCGCTGTACCCATATGTTAATATGAATGAAAGGAACCACTGACGTAGTAGCCTCGTTCTGAGTGACATCCGGGATGGAAATATGCATATTTGACAGGTCGATAAATCGTTGCATTAAAATCTCATTAAAATACATATTTTAACAAATATTTGACACTTATATTGCTATCGATGTATTTTTGGGGAAAGTTAAGTATAAATATTAAAACATTTTGAAACACAAATTGAAAATCGTGTCATGTCTCCTTTAATGTAGGTTTGCCATTTTAACATAATTCAGAAACATTTCCGGTCATAAAAGTGACATGGTGAATAAGTACTATCAAAACAAGTCCTACTTTTATACCCTCTCATTACAATCAAGGTTAATTAGTTGTCAGGCAGTTGAAATTTACCTGTTCAGGTAACAGGTAAACTAATATGTACCCGACATTGATCGATCTATTTGAAGTTATTTTTATAAATTTCAGCTATTTGCATCTAATTAGTTTAATCAAAAAGATTTAAATTATCAAAAATATGTATATAATTATGATTTGATGAAAATTTTTAAAAGGTAGTTATTTTTTCGTTGTTTGAACAAAGTAAATGAGTGCGCATGTGCGCAGTTGTGAGATTTAATTATGCATCCAAATTCTTCAAAAATACTAAAATTATCATTGATACCTTTATCTAATGTTCATTTCAAATATTTTCTTGAAGAAATAACATTGAAAGGAGCTACTTGAACTTGATTGTGCTTTTTAAACGTACACGGATTTTTCGTCACCGTCTCTGGTCCGTGTTTTACAATTGTAAAGTCAACATCCAGTATGAGAAAATGTACCTTTAAAAACGAAAGTAAAGATTTTGACAGGGATGATTTTGACAACGTAATTTTGCACAAATAAAGATTCTAAGGCAGATATTAGTACGCTAATGTAGCACACTTCGAATGATGCACTGTCAATTTAACAGTTTACGTCAGTACAGCAAATTTGTATCAAAAGTTTTTGCTTAAAAGTGTTGACAGTTAAAAGGTCTAATTTTGCTGAATTGATATTGAATTTTTTGATAAATTGACTAACCTTATCTTGTTTTTTGGTTGGTTTCTTCTTTTTTTCTTCCTGTACAGCTCTCCGCCGCTTAAGTTCCCCAAGTACACTGTTGTCTACATGTATCATCTGACTAAAGGCTATACTACCAGCTATAGAGACCAGTCTGGTCAGTAGTATGGTTACTTCTGTTGTAGAGGCATCGTCCGAGGGCTGAGAATCACCTATTAATAGAAACATAAAAAAGGTCTCTGAGAAAATAGTTTTTAGTCTTCAAAACTGAAACTCATTTTAACCCTTTCCCCGACAAATTTACCGGGATTCACGCTTCAGACAGCTGATGATGAGTCCCTGTTTACCGTGATCAGAATACCTCTTTTACATTTCCCGCTAAAAAACATTGCAAACACAAGTTATCTTTCTTTGATGAATACCCGGATGAAAGTGTAAACATGGCGCTTCCGTTTGTTGAAAACCGTTTCAAAATCAGATGAAATTTATGGATAACTTTGTGAATAATATAAAGACATAAATAACTACAGACAAGTTTTTATTGATATTTAATATGAAGTTCTCCCCTTGTGTCATAATAGCCAGGGAAGCCATCGTCTCAGAGTAGCTTCTGTCAGGGCAGCTATAGTGAAAGGGTTAAGGTATTAAAGTAAAATCCCTAAAGGCCAAATGTAGATTTAAAACAAATAAATAAGTTTCGTCGCCAACATTTCAACTTTATCTTGTTTAAATTCTCTCATAAAATAATTTTAGTCTTCAAAATAGAACTCAGTCTTAGGTTAGTGCAAATCCCTAAAAGCCAAATGTAAATTTAAAACTAGTAAATAAGTTTTGTCTCCAACATCTCATCCTGAGTATTACTGACCTCAAACTGCTCTTTTGTGAAGATCGTACAAAAAATAAAGTAAAAGTGTACACTTATATTTTTTTGATACAGTAGACTCCACCTAATCAGATATCAGCTAAACGAATATATCGGCTATTGTAATATTTTTTCAAAACACCAAACCCTTCCCTATATGTTTAATGTTAATTTTATCTTGTAATCGAATATCGGATATAAGAATATATCGATAAATAGGATAAGAAGATTCAGGAAAGTTTGTTCAGAACCATGCACAATCGGATATTTTCAATGTTTTTCTGACAGGAAATGGAACCGGAAGTTACGAAATTACAATCTTGCAGACAAGAAAATTTAGTTTTTACTGAATAAAAAGGAACTATTTCTTAATAAATTGTTGTCTTTATTCATTGTCTTCCTTTGTAAAGTGAATAAGATGCCCTCTAAATTCAAATAGTTTGAATTCATTTATAAAATCTGAGACTACTATGTGTTATAGTAGTCTCACATAAAATATACAAGAGCAGTACGTTGGGAGAATTTTGATAAAACTCTAAATCCTCACAGAATCAGAAATATAATTTAAACTGAATGTAACTCCTTCTGAATAATTTATTGCAATATACATATAAATCCCTTTTGACAAGAGAAATCTGACTTTTGTCAGGTATAATTTTGTAACATTTGCATGACCAACTGTCATGGAAGCCATTTTGGTTTGTTTACATAATGTGAAGAAGCACTGAGAACCATGACCTAAACATAAACAGTCTTCAGAAAAACTTAAACTTGATGCAGTAATATTTGATCAATCATAATTGTATATCTTCATAAATTTAAATTTGATTATTTAAAGAAATAAAATATATTACAAATACGATTTTAGTTTAGAGACTGCAGTGTACACAGACCATGCTTTGATCTATTTATAGCCCAACTAGCTTACCTGTGATAGATGTAAATAATGGATATTAATTTGTTTACAAAACAAATAAAGACACAAACTATGGATGGTAGATAGTTATTCACATAAATATTTCAGGACATTTTATTTATTCTAATAAATATAGGATTTAAAAACTGAAAACAAATATAAGCATTACATATCCAGCTAATAATTTTTTACACAAACATCGTGGTGATGTAACTGATAACAAGAGCTGTCAAAATGACAGTAAACCGGATTCTTTAACATTTATTTGTGTTCTGGCATTAATCAATATCACAAGGACCAAAACTCCTAATAGGTAAAATTTATGATCATCAATATCAAACTTGACTTCCATGTTGTCAACAATAACAACATATAAACTAGATAGAAAATGACCCTCTAGCAGGACAAACTGTGTGCCCTTAATGCATAAAGTAAAAAAAAATTACTAAGTCCACCTACCTAGGATTTGGAAATATCTAAAAAAAAAAATGAATGAATTGTATGGTTTTCAAATGGAAAGGCAAAAATCAAGCTTGACCTGTTTGACCATCTAGTTATCATAAGTGACATCATTTTGAAATATTAGAGAGCATATAAGTACACACACGTTTGTTCAGCAGGGGTGGGTAGGCAGAAATCATGAAGTCAAACAAGGAAGAGATACGTTTATGAGACTTAAACCTTATAAAATATGAAACCATAGTATCTTGTGGTCACTCCAATAACTTTCTAGGCTCCCACTTTCAAACTGTTGTTGTCTTGTAATATAGGCATGGTCAATGGAAGAATGATTGTCTGTGGTTTCATCGATATGAGCTTCTGCCAATAATACTCGGGTAACACAATTTTTCAATCTTTCAAGAACCGAAAGGTTTGGTTGAACGGTTCATGAGTAAATGCACGGACACGACAATTTTTAAACTTTCAAGAACCGTAACTCCTGAATGGTACAAGTCAAAATCGTGATTATTGAACTTGACCTCCATTTTGTTGTCAGTAACAACATATTAAAATTTAAAAAGGTTTGGTTGAACAGTTCATGAGTAAATGCACGGACACAACATTTTTTAAACTTTCAAGAACCGTAACTCCTGAACGGTAAAAGTCAAAATCGTCATTATTGAACTTGACCTCCATTTTGTTGTCAGTAACAACATATTAAAATTTAAAAAGGTTTGGTTGAACGGTTCATGAGTAAATGCACGGACACGACATTTTTTAAACTTTCAAGAACCGTAACTCCTGAACGGTAAAAGTCAAAATCGTCATTATTAAACTTGACCTCCATTTTGTTGTCAGTAACAACATATTAAAATTTTAAAAGGTTTGGTTGAATGGTTCATGAGTAAATGCACGGACAACATTTGGTTGCTGCCCGCCCGCCCGCCCGACCAACCGCCCGCCGTACATCCCCAAATCAATAACCGACATTTTTGACACAAAAACCGGTTAAAAATCACTCCAGCCCTTTCTGATATATAGCAGTGGTCAGGGCTAGTAACATCTCAGGATTAGGTCTACTCATTATTGCAAAATATTCAATGGATATACATTTATCGTCTAATTGGATATATCGGATAATGGGATATTTTTTGCTGACATTTTGGGTATCCGATTTGCCGGAGTCTACTGTATCATTTATTATTTTTTTGACAGTAAATCTAAAGAATGAGTCACAAATGATTCAATTCTCTATCATTCATTGAAGAAAAAGTCATTTCTCTAATAATTATGAAATGAAATATTTTTCCCCTTTTCATATTAAACTTGTACTCTACAGTCAATATTGTCTCAATTTTGCTCTTTTGGAATTTCGCCTATTTACAAACAACTAGATAGAACTTAAGTTACCTACCAGTTGTCAAAAAACATAAAAAGACAGACAAAGCTACTGTGAATTCATTATTATTTGTTGGATACCAATTTTTGTGGAATTCATGGGTATTCATTGTAGGTGAACCACGAATCTATATGTTCAACAAATTACAAATTTTATATAATATGCTGGTAAACAGAATTTGTCAAAACCACGAAATCAAATATACATAAAAATGCAACTTTTTCTCAATCCTAGAAAATTGATACACACGAAAATAAATAAATCCACAGTACACAGAACTACAGATTAAGAAACAAGAACCTACCAGAATCTAGGGCTGAACTCAAAACTGTGCAATATGAACTCAACAGAAACTAGGGATGAACTAAAATAGCCATTCCAACATTCCTTATTAATTCAAAGTCGCTGGACCATGATCTTGTGGGCAGGGCCTAGAAATGGTTCCTATCAAACTATCTTAAGCAGAAAACTTAACAATTGTTGACGCCCGAGTTGCCGGAAAGCAATCCCTATGTCTTGCTTTCTGCGACTATCGTCACAGGTGAGACAAAACACTAAAGATTGAGCAATATGACCAGAATCTAAAGGTGTACTCAGATACTTCAGAGGGGTAATCATTTGCTGCTATACTTGTGGCATCTGTAAAATTTGCTGGGAATATGGTATCAAATAGGAGGCATATACTCCTTATGCAGACATGTTTTTCAGTTGCTCTATATAAGTTATTTACCTGCTGCAGACAATATTGTTGTTTCTAGTTTGCCTATCTATATAAGTTATTTACCTGCTGCAGACAATATTGTTGTTTCTAGTTTGCCTATCTGTATAAGTTTATCAGCTATAGACTTAATGATATTCCCACAGATATCATCTGGATGTTCAGATAACTTGTAAATAACTTTTACTGCCTGCTCTGCCAGTGCTATCCAGTGATTGTTTTTCTCATTAGCTACATCTATAATCAAAATCATACATTGAATTAAGTTATTTCATCTAAAATTGCCGAGTGACATAAAATCTTTAACCATTCAGACATTCTTATAGTAGACAAAAGCACCTGAACCCATTCATATTGATTTATTGTTGATGGTAAACACCACTTTCAGCCCTATTGGCTATCTCATGGCGACCAGATGTTATCATTGAGGAAGCTGTAGAGAATCATGACTGTTGGCAGGAAAACTAAACTGTCAATCCTAATCAAATGAGACCGGAGTTGAAAGCACCTTGCCATGGGCAGGGTTTAAACTCACAATTTCAGTATTGACAGGCTAGAGGTACACTGACAAAGACATTAAGATAAGAAGTGTTTCTTGTGATAGTCTAATATCTAGCATGTGCCATATTTGAATATTACATCAATGATCCTGTAATTATTTCATTTATCCGGATGCTAAAAGATTGCAAACCTTAATTATGTCATTTTAAAGATTAGACTGTCAAACTTTGTCATTAATTCTAAGCTAATAACATTTTTTTACAGCTTCTATTCTGAAATTTGATTTATATAATACATTTTAAAATTTTCATGTGAAATAACAGGGCAACAGAAGCCCCCTATATTGAATGTTCTCCTTCAGACCTGTGTCAAATTCAAGGAAAACAACAAAGAAATTTACTGGCATTTAAAATTGTAAATAAAGAATTAGTCATTTTTATCAACAACCCATCTTTGAGGTTTACAACCCACAGAAATATTTTACATCTGTAAAGTGTTTTATTTTGCTTTTCTAGTGACAAATCTCATCTTGATGTCTGTTCTTTTCCTGATAGATCAACTTTAGGTCCGAGAATATATTTTCTTAATTTTATATTATTTGTGAAATTCGAAACAAGCAAAACCCTAGAAAATAGCATTTCATTAAAGCTGTCTTTTTCTTGTTTTAATTTTATATGCAAGGCCAAAATATAAAATATGTCTGTTTACGGTAACCAGATCAACACTACTTTTGAGCGCCGACCCCAAGTCATTTTATTCCCGTTATAAAGTGAAAAATTAACTGAACTTAGTGTTGTGCCACGATTATTTACAGTAACATTTTTAACCTTCATTTCATTCGTATTTCCCGGGGTATATTTTCGTTGAAAGTGGGTCATACTTATTTTCACTTTTGTACACTTGCTTGTTATGCGGAATGATCTTTCATAGTAACAACATGATTACCTTATTCAGACGTTATTAATGCATCCTATTTAATCAATATTTATCCTTTTATAAAGTTAGAATTATCCCAAATCCTACTTGTCTACTAGAAGGCCACGTTGGTTTACTTTCACATTTGTGTACACATGTACTATTTTTAGCGTGTATTGAGTGACGTCGTCTTACAAACGTTTTAAAAAAGATAGTTTCAGTTTCAAATTATAGCCGCTGGCGAACAGCTGAGTTTCAGACAGTGACCCAGAATTATTTATTCAGGTATTTTGGCACACACTGCAATTCTATTTAATTGATTTATTAATAACTATTGTTAATGATATTAGCTTTTTATAAAGCTACTTTTATTTATTTAAACCAATCTTATTTCTTGATTATCCAAAGTTTGGACTTCAAAACAGTTTTATTACTTTGACTTTAATTGATATTTGTATAATATCTGCCAAACCATTTACAATAACGGTTGGCGCTTCACTTGTGTCAAAAGCAAAGTAAGAGTTGCCAATAAAATAAATTAATTGCCTGATACATCTAAATGTTCACAATTGTTAATATGACAGCTGTTTTAAGAAACTTGTGACTCATGTGATGAAATAAACACTTTGCAGCCATTTTTTTCCAACCAATAACAAAGGGAAATAATCCAATCATTAAAAATATGTAGGTAAACTTGGCCCATGGACAATTTGGACCACGGCAAGACGGACTTCACGACTCAAAATCATGTCGCAAAAAATAAAATAAAATGGATATACATACCTACCTACCCTATTTTTTTTATGACGTAACCTTAAACAGACATACATTTTTTTTGGCCTAAGGTAAACTTACTATTAATAAGTAGTTCGGACAGTCTAATAAACATTTCATGGTCCTCAGGCAATCTGTAAGGTTTCTTGGCAACAGCCCCTTTTGCCTACAAATGAATAACTATTTGTTATAAACAATAACACAGGGCTTAAAATCAATGCTAGCAAGTAGGCATACTGCCGTTTGAAATTTTAATTCTCTCAGCTTTTGCTGCACTTGAAATATTTCAAAGCTAATTCTTACTGATTTTCTTTACCTGTGTGTTTAAATATACTGATTTTCTTTACCTGTGTGTTTAAATATAAATTAAAAACAAAGAACCATCTGTGAAAGCTAAAATTATCTGCCACATCTCCCGGTCTACTCAGTTTTCAGATTCTACCTGTTGATATATTGTTAACTTTTCTCATGTAAGAGAAGTTGTGATGACAAGATTAAAGCTAAAGAAAACCAAATATGTAAACTCTGAAGAACTCCAATGAAGGGAACATCATATGCCCCCCTGTAAGTTAGTTAAGGAAGGGAACATCAAATGCCCCCCCCTGTAAGTTAGTTAAGGAAGGGAACATCATATGCCCCCCTGTAAGTTAGTTAAGGAAGGAAACATCATATGCCCCCATGTAAGTTAGTTAAGGAAGGGAACATCATATGCCCCCCTGTAAGTTAAGGAAGGGAACATCATATGCCCCCCTGTAAGTTAGTTAAGGAAGGGAACATCATATGCCCCCCTGTAAGTTAAGGAAGGGAACATCATATGCCCCCCTGTAAGTTAAGGAAGGGAACATCATATGCCCCCATGTAAGTTAAGGAAGGGAACATCATATGCCCCCATGTAAGTTAGTTAAGGAAGGGAACATCATATGCCCCCCTGTAAGTTAAGGAAGGGAACATCATATGCCCCCCTGTAAGTTAAGGAAGGGAACATCATATGCCCCCATGTAAGTTAAGGAAGGGAACATCATATGCCCCCCTGTAAGTTAGTTAAGGAAGGGAACATCATATGCCCCCATGTAAGTTAGTTAAGGAAGGGAACATCATATGCCCCCCTGTAAGTTAAGGAAGGGAACATCATATGCCCCCCTGTAAGTTAAGGAAGGGAACATCATATGCCCCCCTGTAAGTTAAGAAAGGGAACATCATATGCCCCCATGTAAGTTAGTTAAGGAAGGGAACGTCATATGCCCCCATGTAAGTTAGTTAAGGAAGGAAACATCATATGCCCCCCTGTAAGTTAGTTAAGGAAGGAAACATCATATGCCCCCATGTAAGTTAGTTAAGGAAGGGAACATCATATGCCCCCCTGTAAGTTAAGGAAGGGAACATCATCAACCTGAAAACTAATATAGGAAAAGAACATTGTTTTCCCACCTAAAATTAGTATCTATTAATATACCATCAGTAACAAAGTGGGTTCTGAAAAGGGTCAAATTTGTGAAAACCTTCACCAATTACTTCAGTGAATGCATCAAACTTTATTACTGATCCTACCTTTTTGTCTGTTCCTAGTTTAAGTAGTGTGATACAAGTATCCTTGGCCAGTATAAAATCTTCTGTTGCACGACTTCCAAGTCCTTCTTTTACCAGTATATCAACATTACTCTGAACTATCTTAGCATTGGCTCTGAATAAATAACATTACATTTATTAATTTCTCACCACAATGGGTTTGAAACATTTTGCTACAGGCAATTGTGAATGCAAAGGGTAGAAGACAGACTCTTAAGTCCTGAAATAAGGAGTATTTTAAACATTTGGTTGGGACAGGCAAAAGTAATATTAGCAGTCATGGTGTTTAATGATGCCTATATCAGAAGAAAAAAATCAGACACCAATTAAACGAAGGCATACTTGATGGAAAGGTAATCCAAAACTTTGTCACTGTGGCCTACATTTCAATTCTCATCGAAAATTTAATAAATGTACACCAAAATAAAAACTATGTTATGCAATTGGTTGAATATCAATGGTTCAGGATGTAGTCAACCAATCACATCATTTTGGTGTACACTTTTAAAAAGGTTATCAAATATGCATTAGATTGTGAAATGGTATTAAAAAAATTACCCTGCCGCCATCGATAACAACATTAGAGCTGCTCTACTATCCTGCTGGGTAGTGTTAGGGACTTTCATAGTGAATCTTTCCCACAACATCTGTATAACTGATTGGTCAAGCTCTTCAGACTTCACAAATTCTACTATCTGAAAACAGAAAAGTGTCATCATAAAGATCCTCATTTTTGGTGTATTTTATTTTTCAATAGGACTTCAATAAAAAAAAATGTTCAAGCCCCTCCTTAAAAAAAATGGACTGCTGATGTTTAAAATGTCTGCTCATATTTATATTTTTTCAATATTATTTAAGAAATTCAATGAAAAAAATGTTTTTATAAAGAAGTTCAAATGTAATTAATAAGACATGAGTACAACATCAATTAGACTGACACTTTAAATTTCTACAACATTATTGCAATCTATAACCTTAAGCACAAAACAGTTCTTACCAATCCTTCCAGAGAAGTTAAATCTCCCCAGTATCCTCCCCAGAAATTGTTTAAGGCGCAAAAATTTGTAGCGTGTAACCCTTTTTTTGGAGTGAACTATTGTGACGCGAAACAATCATTCAGTACTACAAAATGAAGTTAAAAGCTTCATGACAGTCTAGGTGTTTAATTATTTATAAAATATCATTAAATGAAATATAATCAATTTACATCCATATAAAACACATTGATCATGCTGATATCACAGTCCATTTATAGAGTTTAATTTAAGAGACCAAATTTAGTAATTTCAAGAGAATATTCTCCTGTTCCTTTGAGCCTTCAAGTGCTGTACAGCTTTAAATATTTCCATATCTGGTGCATCTGCTCCTTCTAAAAATATTGTATTATTAGCAGTTTGTAATTTTAAGAATACAACTTTAAAAAAAAAAGATAAAATGAACAGCTGATCAATTTAGAAGGTTGACATTTCAAGATCACTTCCCTGTGTATTTGTCACACTCTTATATTTGGCAGGTAGAAACCTGGCAAATTCTTCAAAGTAAAGTCCAACAAAATTATTTACATATGGTTCTGCATTTAAGTTCCTAACTATTGACATCGAGTTGTGTATTGTCATAGTTTTCTGGTGCAAGGACCAAACTGACAGACACAACTGATTTATTTTTTTTAAAGATGACAATTTAAGAATTTTATTTGCTTAGAACAAAATTTTACATTCTATCCCAAACTATTGATTCATGTTATGAATTTATCATAAATATTAGTTTGCGTTACTTTTTTTTCATGTAAAACGTTTGACTTCCGTTCATAAATATATTTGTAGTTGTGTATTAGGGCTATTCCAGAAAAAAATGTATGGGGGTGTTGGACGGCAGTTGATCTTTTTTTGCATGGGTGATGGGGGGAGGAGGAATTAAAATTGTGTGGGTAGTTGTTCTCCTACACAACTTAATTAGATGGGTGGTTGTACCTAAAGAGAAGAAAATATCTTTTTCAGTTGATAGAACCTTCAAATATCGATGGAAAACGTGTTTCATTCTGCGATTTTGTTTACTTTTTGCGCATATTAAATCCTTTGGTTAATGCCCGAGCGTTTCGAATGGAACTGTATATGCATATTGGTGCTCCTAAAAGGGAGAGAGTTACGAAGTATCAGAGTAGTAACTGGTTCCCGGATTTCTTTTTTAACTGTTTTCCCTAATGTGAGATGTTCAGTTACCAGATTGTTTACCGCATGGAAACAGCATGGCTGGACAGTGGGATGTTATCGCTGTTTGTTCCTGGCTCCAATCCAATGGATTGGGGAAATTTGCGGACTTTTTTACAGGTAATATTTGTTCATTAAAGGAGATGGTGTTGTGAAAATTTATCCACAACTCGAAGACTGGCTCCAGAAAAGCAATGTTTACCATATTATTATCGAAATAAATGCAAAAAATAAAAAGTCAGTATGTTTTACTCACAATCGAAATTAAACAGATAAATGAGTGTAAATACGAAAGGAAGTTACAGAGTACCAATACAAACAATAAAATGATTTTAATTAGGGTTATTAAAAAACATTTTTCATACGAGAAAAGGCTGTTTTGTTGGCAACTTGATTCTTGATTGATTTTTATTTTATCATTATATATTTAATAAAAACACAGAAATGACAAAATTAAACATAATATAACCACAAGAGTATTTTGTTATCAGTATTGTGTGAAATATGCTCCAGAACTTGATTAGTACAGTGAAATGTTTTGTCAGAAGGTAATATAATTATTTGTTTGCCTTTGGCATAGTTTGATTGTTATTATTCTGAGTATACATGAGGGTCGTAATGGGGGTACCTTCATGACCAATAACGGTAAAAATTCTTAACAAATGACGTTAACGGTAATTTTTGGTACATGACGATAAAATGTACACTTTCTTTTAGACGATAAAAAAATCAACTTTTCCAAAAATAACGGTAACGATAATTATTTGAGACCTCTGACGAATCACGATAAGGATATTTTGACGAATCACGGTAAAATTTTAACGAATATGACGCTAACAGTAGCCAAAAATGACCGTTTGACGCCTGACGGTAAATGGTATTCCTACCCTCATACATGGGTAAATTAATTATAACCAAAAAATTACTTTTATGTACACATGTAGTAAAATAAATAGTCACAGTAGTTTTTCAAACTTGCAAGCAGATTCTATTGAACTTTGTAGGAAATCAATGTCGGATATAAATTGCCAGTATTATTTGTAAGTAGTAGAACTTATGAACCTACACATGCTTTTGGTGGATGGATATTTTATCATACTTAATAACTTATAGCTAGCTTGCTGTGTAAAAGCACTATATAATCAATAATTTTAATGCACATTTACTTGTTTTCATGCTGTTTATTCATTTCACTTTTTCTGTTATTTTCAAAATATATTTATAAACAAATTGCCTAATGTGATAAAGATATCTGATGCAGTTTACATGTACATGAAATTATCACAAATTAATTCTACCACAAAATTTTTAGATGTTGATGGAATTTGTATACGGTAATCATTTTTAACTTTCATACCCTGCTGTATATCCATATATCTATCACATATATTATTCTTGTGCTTCTGTAATCATTCTACAGGCATGAATTTAGAGGTTGGCATATGTCTTGCCCTTTCCCCACTAAAAATGAGAGGATTTTTTTTAACACAGTAAACATTTAAGCATTGTTACCCTCGACAATGAATGAAAAAAAATGCACCTACTAAAACCAAAGTCCTGGATCTGTGTCTGCTTTGTATTTCTCAAAGTTTCCTTTGATTATTATTCTTTTAAAGGTGATTATTGATAACAAATTATGAAAGGTATTTCACACCAAAACCAGCACTTTAATATAAAAAAGTACTTCAATAGATAATTAACATACCGGGTAGATACTATTTACTAATATTCAATCTTAACTCTTTGTCAGGTAAGTGATTCAGTTCTAGTAGAGGTTAGCCTAGAACTGAATAAATGCTTTAAAGACTAACCTCAGACTTTTCGAGATAGAATGAATAGTTATAAACAAAATGTATATATAGTGGTCACATAATACCTAAGAAATGGAATCAGATATAAAACTTTTGTCAGAAACTAGAGACAATTTGAATAAAACTAGGAGTGGTTAATGATTGTCATTTACTACAATTGTAACTCTCAATTTTTTAAATGACTGCTTTATACTCTGATTGGCTGTCCAACACTTTTTGTATGTCGTGGTCACTTTTGCCATCTGTAGACATTTGGTTTTTATTAGCCTGAATTATTGTATATCATTGTCCATCCATCCGTCATCACCACTTCAGACAAAAACCCAAAACAACTTTCACCTATTTTCATGTTTCAATAAATCATCATATCCTATCCCAGCACCCCAACTCCATAGATCACTACATGTTTGGAACATCTACTTAGACCAATCAGAATAAACTTTTTTTATTTAGGAGTATTTTGAGGGGCATAAAGAAGGGAGGGGTTTACTAAAGAACCCTATGGGATTTTATTTTTTTAAATTTTCAAATAACTAACGTGAAAACCGTAGGTGATAGATGCACTCGGTCTTCAGTAATGATCACTGGACAATAAAACAAATCAAATAAAATATAGAGTAAGTCCCTTGGGGTCACCACCACCCCCTTCAATTTGAGAATGTGCTTTTATCTTGCAAACGGTCCAGATTCCCACCCCTAAACCATATATATTCTTGTATGGGACAATAAAACAAATCAAATGAAATATAGAGGGAGTTCCCAGTGTCACCCCCACCCCCGTCCTGTTTGAGAATGTGTAAACGGTTTAGATCCCAACCCCTAAACCATATATATTCTTGTATGGGACATTAAAACAAATCAAATGAAATATAGAGGGAGTCTTCGGGGTCACCCCCACCCCCATCCTGTTTGAGAACTTGAAAATGATCGAGATCCACACCCCTAAACCATATATATTCTCGTATGGGACAATAACACAAATCAAATGAAATATATGGGGAGTCCCCAGGGGTCATCCCCACCCCTCCTGTTTGAGAAAACAAAACATTTTAGAAAACACAATCATTTCAAATTTTCATTGTCATCAAATCCTTTATAAGCAAGTGAGATGTGACAGCTAAAATGGAAAAAAATATAGGGGTAGTACCAAGGGTTTTATAATTACAGGGCTTTGTTTGGGAGACTTTGTAACAGCATCCTGTTACTATTATGTATTTTTTTAAATGAAATTTCATAGAAATGTGCCTTGTATGGTAAATATTCAACTTTGTCATTTGCTATTCACGTTAAGTTGGATTGAATGATAGTTAGGAGGGGGTTTAATGTATAATCACAGTAAGTATTTGTTTTACAAGACCATTTTTTTTTATAATTTCAGAAGAAGAAATAGATGGTAATGCTTTATTGGGCCTAAACGAAGATGAGGTGTTACAGATTTCCCCAAAGGCAAAATTTAGGACCCTCCTTCATCAGTTAAAGGTATGAACATAACGCCAGATCCTTTTATATTTAACATGTTTTATTATTATCAAAGGACATCTATGTTTTTATGCCCCACCTACGATAGTAGAGGGCCATTATGTTTTCTGGTCTGTGCGTCCGTTCGTTTGTCTGTTCGTTCGTCCGTCTGTCCCGTGTCAGGCTAAAGTTTTTGGTCAAGATAGTTTTTGATGAAGTTGAAGTCCAATCAACTTGAAACTCAGTACACATGTTCCCTATGATATGATCTTTCTAATTTTAATGCCAAATTAGAGTTTTGACCCCAATTTCACAGTCCACTGAACATAGAAAATGATAGTGTGAGTGGGGCATCCATGTACTTTGGACACATTCTTGTTTACATATGTGAATGTTTGGCATGATTTTGGTTTCCTTTTCTTATTTCAAACATGTCGTGCTTTTCTTTGACAGATCAATATTTATGAAATGCATTTATCATCGGAACATATGTTGATAGATATATGCAACATACTTCACTGAAGCTGTACTGTGACATATAATTGCTTATATTTATTACATTTGGTCTTGTTTTTTGCCATTAACCACCAAAATTGTCATCTGTAGATCCATCCTAATATCCCTTTTTTACTTGTTTTTTTATGTTGAACATTTTCTTGTCTGATTTTATCCCCATCAGTGATCACACGATGTTGAAGAACCATCAATCAATCAATTTTAAAAGATAAATAATTTTTATTATGTTACAGGAAGGTGACATGAAGGAAAAAAAGCCTGAGAAGCCTGAAGAAGTCACCAAAGCATCTGTAACACTTGAGGCTGTAACTTTTGAAATACAACCAGAAAATATGGAACATGTAGAAATAAATGATCTTGAGACCAAACAAGATGTTAAGGTTGAACCACAGACTGTCAACAGAAAAAAGGCTATCCCAAAAGCACAGATAACAGCAAAGTTAGCACCTGGTACTCAGATGACACTTAATCATTTTCTGAAGGGAAAAATGGATCCTAAATGTGACAGGTGTGTAACTATACCCATTGCAAATGAAGTTATAGGGGTATACAGTTTTGACCTAATGGTAACAACTTTTTGTCATTACTTTTCCTCTGTCCTCTGTTGTAATAGAAAATAAAGGGATATGGAGTAAATGTACATGGGACAGAATTGCACAAAATACAAAGAGAAAATACAAATTATCAATCAACAGGGCTTTTATTCCTGTTCTTCATCTTGACAGTCGATGTAGAGTCAACAATGAACGAATCATTCATAGCCTACAACAAGGTCAAGATGGCCCCTAGCATCTTTCTACATCCATTTAATTGTTTATTTAATAGGTGAGCTTTGCAGGTTTAGATGAGTATTAGGTTTTACTGTCAACAAATATGGGCACCACGCTTTAAAAAAAAACATTTAAATAGAGAAAACGCAAAGTGGCAATTTATTCAGATGTTCTGTAGCTCAAAAAACAAAAAGGAATAACCCTGTCTGTCTCTCCGTCTGTCTTACTAAGTTTAACATTGCAATATGTGGCAACAGGTGTCCTAAGTGGAAAAAGGGGGGTATCTGTTACTCTGCACACATTCTGTCTTTATATCAATTTAGTATGATGCTTGTATTTATATACAAATGAAATAATGTTTTTTTTTTTTTCAGATATGGTGAATTGAGGTGTATTGGTTTTAAAGTTTTCGAACAAGAGTTCCTAGATTTGCAAACACCTATGAAGCGTGCATGGTATGAGTTTTGGAACAAAAAGGCTTTGGACTTAGCACATGAAAATACCAAAAGATCTTATATGGAAGGTTTGATAAAAAAAGCCTGGTCATATGAAGGTGGTAGACAGATTGCACTATGCAAATTTGGGAAGGAAATCTGTAAAGCTCAAAAATTAGAAAATGATCCATTCAGTTGCTATGAGCAAGCAGCAGAACAGAAACAAAATGAAATACAGAAATTGGAGACAGAAAAGACAGAAAAAGAGCAGGAACTTTGTAGTCGAATATACAAAGGAACCATTTCTATGAATGATAAAGTTTCATTACGAAAGCATATAAAATTGATAACAGTTGATGCTGAGAAAGCTGAGAAAGATTATTCAAAAATACTAACAAACTGGACAGCTCATGCATATAAAGTTGAGAGACGGGGTGTAGAGAAAAAGAAACCTGGTAGGAAAAGGAAAGCAGAAATACAGGAGATAAAATATCTGACTGCAAAGGAGTTAAGGTCTAAGAAAAGTAAAGTTGATAACCAGTCAGCAGGCAACCAAGATAAAAGTATGGAGTCAAATGATATGTTTGTAGAAGACCCAGCTGAGATCACAAGTGACAACCATGATGAAGGTATGGAGTCAAATGATGTAATGTTTGTAGACGACCCAGCTGAGATCACAAGTGACAACCATGATGAAGGTATGGAGTCAAATGATGTAATGTTTGTAGACGACCCAGCTGAGATAACAAAGGACAACCATGATGAAGGTATGGAGTCAAATGATGTAATGTTTGTAGACGACCCAGCTGAGATAACAAAGGACAACCATGATGAAGATATGGAGTCAAATGATGTTATGTTTGTAGACGACCCAGCTGAGATCACAAGTGACAACCATGATGAAGGTATGGAGTCAAATGATGTAATGTTTGTAGACGACCCAGCTGAGATAACAAAGGACAACCATGATGAAGGTATGGAGTCAAATGATGTAATGTTTGTAGAAGACCCAGCTGAGATCACAAGTGACAACCATGATGAAGGTATGGAGTCAAATGATGTAATGTTTGTAGACGACCCAGCTGAGATAACAAAGGACAACCATGATGAAGGTATGGAGTCAAATGATGTAATGTTTGTAGACGACCCAGCTGAGATAACAAAGGACAACCATGATGAAGGTATGGAGTCAAATGATGTTATGTTTGTAGACGACCCAGCTGAGATAACAAAGGACAACCATGATGAAGGTATGGAGTCAAATGATGTAATGTTTGTAGACGACCCAGCTGAGATAACAAAGGACAACCATGATGAAGGTATGGAGTCAAATGATGTTATGTTTGTAGACGACCCAGCTGAGATCACAAGTGACAACCATGATGAAGGTATGGAGTCAAATGATGTAATGTTTGTAGACGACCCAGCTGAGATAACAAAGGACAACCATGATGAAGGTATGGAGTCAAATGATGTAATGTTTGTAGAAGACCCAGCTGAGATCACAAGTGACAACCATGATGAAGGTATGGAGTCAAATGATGTAATGTTTGTAGACGGCCCAGCTGAGATAACAAAGGACAACCATGATGAAGGTATGGAGTCAAATGATGTAATGTTTGTAGACGACCCAGCTGAGATAACAAAGGACAACCATGATGAAGGTATGGAGTCAAATGATGTTATGTTTGTAGACGACCCAGCTGAGATAACAAAGGACAACCATGATGAAGGTATGGAGTCAAATGATGTAATGTTTGTAGAAGACCCAGCTGAGATAACAAAGGACAACCATGATGAAGGTATGGAGTCAAATGATGTAATGTTTGTAGAAGACCCAGCAGAGATCACAAGGGATAACAACAATGAAGGTATGGAGAAAAAGAATCAGGAAAAACAGAAGAAAAATCCAATGACAAAGAAAAACATGACCCTGTTTATACCACAGACATATGATACGTACCTTGGAATAAAGTTGTTATTTCCAGGAATCAGTCAGAACACAGTTGGGCTTCCCCATGGTCTATCACGAGGTTCAAACGCTTGCACTGGTTTCTGCCTAAAATTGGCTGAACATTTTTTTAATGAAAAATCTTCTCTTCACATTAAACCTGCACTTTCCGAGTATAGAAGTAGCCTGCATGAAATAGTATCAAGGTATGAGGACAGAAACATTCAGATGATGGACACAAAATCAGCTATGACATATTTTGGATATCAGAATTCGATGAAAATTATATCAGACACAATATTGGCACCGACAACTTGGTGTAGGTGCATCTGATGACCCATTAGAAATATGCAGTGCAGAATACAACAGATCGATAAACTCACAAGAAAGAGAAGCCCTTTTTATCACTGTGTCAGACAAAACATTCATCATTTTAAATAATGAGGAAGGAGATCAAGTCATTTTGACTCCCATGTGCATTACACTGATGATAACATGACTCTAGAAGATACTTTAAACAAAAAAGATCTACATGGTCTGATTGCTGCAAGTGACAAAACCTCAAACATGCTTATGTATGTATTTGCTCATGTTGTAAATGAACTAAGATGTTCCACTGATACCGGATGTATGTATCGCTGTCAAAAAAACTGAAAGATGCTCCTTGTTTACCTATGCGGGAAAATTCAATAAATGTCTCATGTAAAGAAAAGACAACAAATTTAAATATTTATAGAGATCTTTTCATGAGATATTTACCTGTCATACAAATTTACAAAGCTGTAGATAATCAGACTCGAGCCTTTATTCTAAAGAAACCTATTGACAAAGACTTTGCAAATTTAATAGCAACAATTGAATGGTCCTACAGAAATGAACTTTTGAAAAAGAACATTAGTAAAAAACTTGAAAATATCATGACACCAGCATTAAATAGCTGCTCTGAAAAGGACAGACATATTCTTAAGTATATAATATCCACACTAACTTCGGTGGAGTTTCTGAACAAAACTGGAATAGATGGAAAAAGATACCAAAGAAGCAGCTTAAATACCAGCATGACATATGCAAAAGAAACAATACAGAAATGGACTGTAAACAAAGACTCATTGAGTGCAAATATGCTGCACAAGAAGAGAACCGAAACAGGACAACGAATACAGGACAACGAATACAGGTGCTTGGATCTGGAAGGAAACTTCTTGCTGAAAAGTATCCTGTTTAACAACGTTAATATTAAGACTGTTCGATGCTGGAGGAGATGGATTACAAAGTCATCCAAGATTAATATGCGACACTTTATTTTTACATAAAAGTAAATGGATGAACATGCCTCGATGTGTAACAATTTTAAAACAGATCTATGATATTGATATATCAATTAGTGCAGCTTATACTTATACAGAAAACTATCGTGAAAAAAGTCACCAAGCAAAACGTCATCATCATGGCAAAAATGTAAATCCTGGTATATCATTAAAGAAACCAACAAGAGATGGGAACCACAATCCATCAATTAATGATCATTTTGCACAGACAGACATAAACTATTCAATAGAAGAGACTCTGATCAACAATGGAAAAGTCATCGCAAGAGACGATAAGGCTTTAGTACATTGCGATGTAGAAATTGTACAAAGACCAAGTAAATCTTGGAAAAAAGTCATCTATTCAGACCATGATTGGGAAAAGGACACAAAAAGAAGTTTGCAAATTACAACTTATAAATTTGTTAAAGTGAAGGATATGTCAGAAAATGAGGATATCGTTGCGCAATTCAGTGGAATCCCCATTTGTCAAAGTAGATTAACCGGTGGAGGATTGTCAATAGTAAAAATACATTACTTTGAAAATTCTACTGTGTTTAGACACTTTAACGAATTATTGTTTCTCATGACTTTGGAAAATCAGCATGTGTTTTTCCAGACAGGAGATAATGGTCTTATACCCCAATTATTAATAACAGTTGATGGAGGTCCAGATGAGAGACCCAGGAACAAACTGACTATGTTTGCGACTGTCCTCCTAAGAAAACTTTTGAAAATAGATAAAGTAAAAGTAATTTCATATGCTGAAGGATGCAGCAAACGACATTCAGTGGAAAGACTACATTTTGCTGAAGGCAGATCTTTATCGCAAAGTGGCGTAATTTCTTCTAAAAGTATAAATGAAAATGAGACAGAAGAAGGCTTGTTTAGCCAGGAAAAGTTCAAAGAAAATATGGAAGCTGCCAGAGAAGAGGCAGTTAAGAGAATAGATGAAACCCCATATGCGAGTGAAAACATAGAGGCAGTAAAACCTCCTCCAGATTTTGATTGGATTTTGACACCAGAGACCATATAAAAAATAATTTCATTCTTGAAGAAAGACACTAGTGAACATCGTTTTGAAAACAACTTTAGCATAAAGCCAGAAGGACCGGTATGGAATAAACTGTGCAAACTGTATGGTATTAGTCCAACAAAATGCTTCAATGCAGTTTCAGTTTACAATGAAATGTACGACCCCAAATCTGCATGGCTCCAGCATTATGCCTACAGTTGTTATAGACCAGATGATTCCTGGATAGGAAATAGTATAAACAGATATGAAATTCAACCAATTGTGGACATAAGCAAGTTACCAGAGCATAAGTATTTGCCTTATCTGGAAGCAAAAAAGCTTGTGCAATATTTTTTAGATAATAAGGTAGAACTTCCAGACTTCCTTAGGGTTCCAGATTTTTATTTACCATAAAAAAATATTGAATCATTAAGGAAAAACAATGAGTCTGTATTTTCAAATGAAAGAGATTTCACCAATGTTCAGAATTTGCTTGGTGTCAGCTCAGATGAAATACGGGCATACATCAGAAAAAAAGAAGAAAAAAAGGAGGATTCAGTGAAAAAGACTGAAATTAAGAAAGCATTCTCGAATCGTTTGTTAGGAAAGCTGACAGTAATAGAACTAAAAAAAGTACTTGAGGAGTTAAAGGTTTCATGGACAAGACAACAGAACAATCGAGCTGACATTCTCAAATTGGTAGATAAGGAGCTAGAAAACAGAAATCTAAAAGAAGACGACTTATTTGAATAAATTTGTTTAACACATCATGCAACATTATTTAACTTCTGACAGCAGAAGATGAGGTTTCATGGGTTTATTTACATGGGTTTACAGTACACATGTTAACCAGATAAAAAAGGAAATTGTTTTATTGCTGTTCTTCATCTTGATAGCGTTCACAATTTTACAAAACAACCTGTTTAAACCAAACTTTAATTGTCAACATATTACTTCCTACAAAGAAAATTTGAATGTATATAGTAATCATCCAGTGCTTCGGTCTGTTTGTGAATGTAAGCTTTTAAGTACAACTCCTTAACTATATACGATCAATGAAACTTTGCATTTGTCTAATACCACCTGAAGATGTGCATCTGGCAAACTAATCCTGGTCCAATGCATCAGAGGGGAGATAACTTAACTTATACTGTGCAAGCACAAATCCTCCATATGAGACTTGTAACTGAATTTATGCATATGTTGAACAATATGACCGGTACCACATGTAGGGCAGGATCTTACCCTTCCAGAGCACCTGAGATTACATTGTTTTTGGGGGGTACTTGTTGCTCTGTTTCAGTTTTCTAGTTGTGTTATGTGGATTTCTGTTTATGTCTTTTCACATTTTTTTTTCTTTTTTTGCCATGGCTTGGCCTGTTTGTTTTCCACATTTGAGTTTGATTGACCCTTTAGGTATCTATTGCCTCTCTTTATGATGGATTAAATTCTGTTATAGTGTTCCATCTGCAGATGTGCATGTACATATAGCTAAAAATATTTCCGCACTCACAGTTGCTTCAAAGGATTATTTTTATATTTAAAAACACAAGTAGAATTATTTATAAAAGTTGAATTGAATATTTCTCAAGGATTTGAGCTGCAAGTCCACACCACTTAAACCATTTGAAATTAATAAAAATAAACCGCAGCTTTTGAAGAAATCTCATCAGACAATAGCAATACAAAAAAGCATCCAGAGGTCACCCAAACACTGTTTCCAATAATAATTGCAATATGATAGTTTTACGTTTTTTTTTTCATGACACTGACAGTGACTAGTACAAAACACATTTGATGCACACATCTGCAATAAAAGTTATTTTTAATGCCAAGAGTATCAGGACAAAATATAAGGTGTTAAGCTTCAAAACCTAGTCACCAATAATCTATATCAAATATCTGATATTGTCAAATGTGCAAAAAAACTTAAGAATTCTAAAACTAATTTACATACTGTCATTAATATAGCCACTTTCAGATATCAAAATGCATATGATTTTTGTTGCTTATTTGTGAAAAAAGCTAGCTTATACTATTTTTAAATTATATGGGTAGTGGGGTCAAACTGAAAATTAATTGTATGGGTAGTTGTCCCATGATGAAATGTAATTTAGTGGGTGATGGGTATAAAAAAAAAGTGCCTTCCAACCCCCCATACATTTTTTTCTGGAATAGCCCTTACAAAGTTAGCACGCGTTATGATGATGTTCATTGGTCGTATTAAAATAGATTTATACTATTGACCAATGAGAAAATTTGATATTTAATATAGCATTATTATAAGGAAAGCCATGCATAAAAACATTTCGTATTTGTATGTTGATCTTTTCCCTCAATTCAAACCCTGAAACACTGAAAAAAGGTATCCAAGAAAAACATTTATCTATTCGATGATAATCTATGCAATTACGCGATCTGATAAGGCAAATACAGGTAATCAATAATTGCGTAATATGGTGTAGTATTGATTTTCATCTGAACGGCGATCTTTAACTTTACAACAGTTATCAAACAGTTCATAATTGAATATGAAAGTTAACACCATACGGGATCAAGTTTTAAGGGACAGCGGCCAATTAAGGCGCTGCGGAATCAACAAAAATATTTTTAAGGCGCTGTGGGACCGCAACGTCATAACGGCCTGGGGAGAACACTGCTCCCATAGTAGCACCATCAACTAATGCTAATAGATTTTTTACTTACCAATCCTTCCAGAGAAGTTAAATCTCCCATAGTAGCACCATCAACTAATGCTGATAGATTCTTTACAATGGTCAACGATTTTGATCTGAAAAATAAATGTTCTGATATCTCATATTCAGGTTAGCATTAGTTATAGAATTTGATTTGGCACAATCACAATTTATTCACTTTGAATCATTTTATGTAATTTATCATGCAAAGTAAATGTAAGATCTAATGGAAAAGTTATGTTGTTTTACTTTGGGAACTGTTAACAAGATTTAACAATATATATATATATATAAAGTTAAATATAAAAGTGAGTCATCAAGACTAAGGTTATTGAAACTTACTATTTACATACCTAATTAAAACTCTTACACGATTGGAAATAAGTTCTGCTCAGGCTGTGTGTTTTTGTCAATATCATTATTCAAGTCACAAATAAAAGATTAATGGTGTAGTTGTACACTAGCAAACATTAAGCAGCTATAAGAACCACCAGTGTTGTAACTGTTGTCAAGCTACTACATTTCACAATATTTATCCATCAAAATTGAACAGCAGTCAAATCATTTCAAATTATTCATATTCTAATACCTTGTGTGTGGTGTAAAAGTTTACACTATATATTGTGTTGAAAAAAAAATGTAGACAAGAACTTTGATTGATAGTTATCTAATTGGCAACAAGTGAATCTGTGAGCTACTGCTCAATAATGATACCCGCCCGCTAAAAGTATAAGGTAAACAGGAAGTTGTTGAGTGATGAATCTGAAAACGCATCACACGGTATAGCTGACTCATATAAACCCTGAAACCAAATTTCAGAAATCCTTGAAATGTAGTTCCTGAGAAAGATTCGACAAAAAATATTCATGGGACGGACGGATGGACAGACAGAGGTAAAACAGTATACCCCCACTTTTTTAAAGCAGGGGTATAATAATACCAAATCTCCTTATTTTTTGTTTTAATTACTCAATCATGTCTGGAAAAGTCCTGGCCATTGTTTCACAATTAATCTTACAACCAAAATTTATCTCAAGTCATCACTCAGTATACTTACAGTCAAATTCAGTTGTAAGATTTTTGGTGAAATGCAAGGGCTGTTGCTAATTAAAGTTGAGGCATTCAGCAGTGAGAGAAAAGACTGGTTGCCTCAGAGCAAAAAGAAAAATTGACCTAATTTACTAATTTAAAAATAAAAACGTTTGATGGATTTGTGAGTGACAGGAAGTCTATTTTTCAAAGTAAAAGTTAAGTGGAACAAGCAATTCATTTTCTTAGAATCCACTACGCTATTCAACTTACAAGAAATCTAGTTTATTTGTGAAATATCTGTCTTACAATAACATTAACGGTACCAATTTTACTGCACCAGTTGCGAATTCCGACAATGAAAGATACCAAAGGGACATTAAACTCATAAGACGAAAATAAACCTAACAACACGATGGCTAAAAAAGAAAAAGACCAACAGACAAACAACAGTACACAAAACACAACATAGAAAACCAAAGAGTGAGCAACACAAAAACTGGGGGTGATCTCAGGTGCTCTGGAAGGGTAAGCAGATCTAAACTAGTATAATTGTGAAATATCTGTGTAGAGACAATTGGTTATCTCCCCCTTCCTACCTCTGATTAGAATCTGCTGGACTGAGATACAGTCGTTTGTAGGCACCAACAACAGCTTCTTTAATTCCAGACTCACGGCTCCAGATCAAAGGTAACATTCTTCTGATCCCCATCATCATTATACCCAGTCCAAACTCAAATCCTGTAATGAAGAACTCAACTGCTTCAAGAACATCTGTAATGGACTTGGACCCTAGTAGCTGGCAAATCATTGGGACAGCTTTCTGTATTTGTGTGGCAAAAAGTAAGGAATCCTGAAAAAATAAAGAGTTCACATTAAATAAAATGTGAAATTACACAACTACATTATCTACTTTTAATCAATTATTCATTAATCTATGAGAAGATCAATTGTTTCAACTGTGATAGAAAGGAAAAATAAAATTCGTAAGGGTTCCGCGGAACCCAGTGTCTCGCCTACTTTCGGTGTTAATCGCAGGCTCAACAAAAATGAGGAAAAAAAATTGATAAAAATATTCCCCTCTTTACTATGTTTTGATTGTAAGTAGCTTCTGTCCAAGTTTGGTAAAAATCCAGGATAATTTATGAATCTAATAAATGTTTTAAAAACTTAAACTGCAGAATGTATGTAATGTTGACTGGAAGAAAAACTAAGTCCATTTATAAGTAAAATACGGAAAAAATGGAACAAAATTTTATCAAAATTTCCTTCTAGATACTAGCTTTTGATCATAAACAAGCTTCTGTCAAAGTGTGGTACAAATCCAGGATAGTTTAAGAAAGTTGTTAAAATTTTAAAAACTTTAACCACAGAGTGAATGTAATGTTAACTGGCAGAAAAACTAAGTCCATTTATAAGTAAAATACGGAAAAATGGAATTTTTATTTTACAAAATTTACTTCTGGATACTATCTTATGATCATAAACAAGCTTCTTTCCAAGTTTGGTAGAAATCCAGGATAGTTTAAGAAAGTTATTAAAATTTCAAAAACTTTAACCACAGAGTGAATGTAATGTTAACTGGCAGAAAAACTAAGTCCATTTATAAGTAAAATACGGAAAAATGGAATTTTTTTTTTTACAAAATTTACTTCTGGATACTATCTTATGATCATAAACAAGCTTCTTTCCAAGTTTGGAAGAAATCCAGGATAGTTTAAGAAAGTTATTAAAATTTCAAAAACTTTAACCACAGAGTGAATGTAATGTTTCCTGGCAGAAAAACTAAGTCCACTTATAAGTAAAATATGGAAAAAATGGAATTTTTTTTTTACAAAATTTACTTTTGAATATAATCTTATGATCATAAACAAGCTTATGTCTAAGTTTGGTAGAAATCCAGGATAGTTTAAGAAAGTTATTAAAATTTCAAAAACTTTAACCACAGAGTGAATATTTGTGGACGCCGCCGACGCCGACGGAATGTAGGATCGCTATGTCTCGCTTTTTCGACAAAAGTCGAAGGCTCGACAAAAATGGAGTTTTCAAAAATGAAAAGATGAGTAACATGTCTATGAGAGCATCTCAACACTATCAAGTCCATCAAAAACTTTAATCTTTAGGCATACTGAAGCAGATTTTTTTTCGGTAATTCTAAAAGTGTCTGATATTCTGATATATAGAACAAACCTTCAAGTACTGTACAACAATCTGTTGTTTTGATATTTCATTAACAACTACTTCATCAACTGGTTGTTCAGACAAAACCAAACCAGGCTTCTTTGATTCTGTAAATAATAAAAAATCACATTCATTTCTCTCCAAAATGGCAACCATCATAATTGGCCAATATTAAAAAAAAATAATTGGTTAACACAGCTATAAAATTACCATCTTCCAATAATTGAATTGAAATCAACCCACAGACATGCACATCTTACAATTATTCCATACACCAAATATAGTTGACCCATTGCTTATGGCAATTAAAAAACAAACCCAAAAACTTAATGTTGACCAATGAACCATGGAAATGAGGTAAAGGGCAGATGATACTGGCTAGACATACATGTACACCTTACAATCATTCCATACACCAAATAAAGTTGACCTATTGCTTATAGTACTTGAAAAACAGACCAAAACTCAAAAACTTAACTTTGACCACTGAACCATGAAAATCAGGTCATGGTCAGATGACACCTACCAGTTGGACATGTACACCTTACAATCATTCCATATACCAAATATAGTAGACCTACTGCTTATAGTATCTGATATATGGACTTGACCACGAAAACTTAACCTTGTTCACTGATCCATGAAATGAGGGCGAGGTCAAATGAAAATTAGGACCTTGCAAGGTACACACATACTAAATATAGTTATCCTATTACTCATAATAAGAAAGAAATTAACATTACAAAATAAAGTTGACTTTTTTTTCAAGTAGTCACTGAACCATGAAAATGAGGTCAAGGACAATGAACATATGACAGACGGAAACTTCGTAATATAAGGCATCTATATACAAAGTATGAAGCATCCAGGTCTTCTAGCTTCTAAAATATAAAGCTTTTAAGAATTTAGCTAACGCAGCCGCCGGATCACTATCCAGGGGTTAAGCTAGGATTTTAGGGCTTTAGTCACTTTTGCACGGGATGAAAATCAACCTTATTTTGGGTAGCAGCAAGGTACCTAGGATGTATATGACTATCTATACATCTTTGTCAGACTTTGAAGGATTTGGCATACTAGGCAGTTACTGCATGATTTGACTGATGTGGCACTTTTAATACAAAGATAAGGATAGAAGATCTAGAAATCTAGTTCACAATTTCACTTCAGTTAGTTTCAGGATACATTCCTAATCAGCAAAAGTTGGGATCCATTTAAAAAAAAAAAAAACTAGGAATCACAGCATAAATGAACTTGTAAGGACTATTTCACTGCATTATTCTCACTCATTATCCTTGAAAACGTTTTAAAGCGATATTTAGAATTATTTCTATAAAGTTGGAACCAAGGATTTGTACAAATCCTTGGTTCCAACTTTAAATTGTAAATTTATCATGAATAGATCACGTTTACTTTCGATTTCCAAATGAAATGAAAACGGGAAGTGACAAGTGGATAATAAATTTAGAATGAATCCCGATTCATCTACAGATTGGTTCGTGTTTAAAAAAGGCAGGAAATTATCATTTTTTAAATTAAATTTGCTAAATAAGAACTATATTTGTCTCTCTCGTTTAGTTTGATATTTAAATATTTCGTATTTTACGTTTTAGTGTCTTTAAATTCATAAGAATACTTTCGCAATGCACAGTTCATCGTAAAGGAAGCACCTGTTTGACTCGTGAAAACATTTCTGAATGTTATGAATAAAGTTCTATCTTATTAATCGAAATTGTCGAAAGTTTTTGATTAAAAGTTATATCAAATATGACGAAAATACATTCATTTGACAAAACTACGACAAGCGAACTGCAAATTGTGATCGTTTGAGAAATATTGAAATTAAAATGCGAACTGTCCGTGGGAAAACTCAAATGACGAAACTACAACAAAAGAACTGCAAATTGTTCTCGGTTGACAATTATTGAAATTGAAATGCCGACTGACTGATTTTACTGGGGAAACGAAAATAATTTTGATGATCAATTATGAGGTTGATTAAATAATTAACGGATTAGTGACCCATCCGATGGCGATAAGCGGATTATCTGTAATCACAACTTATAACACCTATTGTAAATTTTAATTAGCTGAGGGTCATTAGCTTGTCAGAAACAATAAGACAGGTAGAATTATAGTATTTTCATGCGAAAATATATTTACTCTTTCCAAATTTAAGTGACGAAATTGATTTGGCATACTTTCGTCATTTTGAAAACCGTTTCGTAAATGACGAAAATGACGAGCGCTAGCAAAATCACTGTCACTGTCCCTATGTCAAGCTTTCTGTGACAAAAGTCGCAGGCTCGACAAAAACCAAACATTGTAGCGCTGCGAGCGAACGAGCACTTCTCTTTCAAATCTCACTACTTCTCCCTCTCAGTTTCAAAAAGAGAAGTCACTTCTCCCTATGATTCTGAAGTAGTGTGAGCCCTGCATATACCAAATATAGTTATCCTATTACTCATAATACATGAGAATTTCACATGACAAAACAACTGTAATTTTTTTTCAAGCAGTCACTGAACCATGAAAATGAGGTCACGGACAATGGGCAGATGACAGACAGAAACTTCGTAACATAAAGTATCTGCATACAAGGTATGAGGCATCCAGGTCTTCTACCTTCTGAAATATAAAGCTTTGTACAAATAGTTTATGCTGCCACCGGATAGTAATATCTACGTCTCGCATTTTTCGTCGCAGGCGAGACAAAAATACACAATTTGGCTTAATACTTAGAATATACATGTATCATACTTTTGACACTGACAACATTGTTAAAACAAAACAGCTGACAACACAGTGTTCTCCCAAGGCCGATATGACGCTGCGGTGCCGCAGCGCCTTCATAATATTTTTGTAGATCCCGCAGCGTCTTAATTGGCCGCTGTCCCTTGATACTTGATCCCGCAGCGTGTTAATTTTCACATTTGCATTATAAATGTTGGTTAAAATTGTCAAGTTACTGATCACCGCTGATGGGTCGGTCAGTGTTACGCAATAACTGATAATTAGTTTTACCTGAGCAACGCTTATCTCAGCCTTATCGGACTATGTTATCAGGTAATAGCGTAAATGATCATCAAGATAGATATTTTTTGAAGAAAATTAAAATTTTTAAAAACTTCAGTGCAGAAATTGAAGAAATAGATCGCAAATACATTGTATTTACGCATCGTGTGTGTGATCACTTGACCATTTATATAACGAATTTTTTCATTGGTCGAGAAGAAGAATCTATTTAAACACGACCAATGAACGTGTTGAATACACATGATAAATTTGAATACACATTGCTAAAGATATTTACGATGAAAACTATGAATGAAAGTATTAGTAGTTGAAAAAATTAAAATAAAGTTTGATTAAAGATAACGAGGAGTGATTTACTTTAATAGAAAGTGAAAAAATGTTGCTTGCAAGGTAAATTCGTCTGAAACTGTCATATTTTTAGAAATAAAATGATCATTGAACATCGATCGTGAATCCCGTGCGTCGGGAAATATGTGACGATCAACACGGGTACAGAATCGCCGCAGCTTCTGTATAATGTCACTGGTAAATAATTTCAATGGTTTTAACTTTAACGAATTTGTAAAGTTTCGTTTATATCTATCTGCCAAAGATAGGATTAAACAATAATACGCACGGAAGCGTAATGTGAAACTACGCCGGGAAACTGGTCAGCTGTTCATTTATAAAAAAAAATTGTTTTAAAAAGTTGTATACCAAATATCTTAACCATATTCGATTTTATTAATTCTGAATGAACATGTTCTCTGCAAATAACAAAGGGGTGAATTATAAGCAAAAGGTAGAAGATGGAAGTAGAAGTTTTTTTTCACACCAATGACTTCTAATGAAAAGTGGAATACACCTCCGTCTACACTGTCAGTATAAGCAGATTGCATTGCTTCTCCTAATCTTAACCAAGCTCAAGTTTTAACAATTGATAAAAGCAAGCACCATGTTTCTGGTTTCAATGACAAGTGGCTGACTGAGTTTTCATGGCTTAGAAATGTTAAAGGGGGTATAAGCAAAAGTTATTGTGAGTGGGGGTTTAATTTTTAACCCTGAAGAGGATAAAGACAAAGTTGGGGAACAGACTGTCCAACAAAATAAAACTATCTTGAAACAATATCCCTAGAAGGAGCAGAGAGTAGAGATGAATATTTATATTTTGACTTCTTTAATTGACTGAATATAAATAACTTTTGTGTTTAAAATCAATTTATTTCATATATATATTCTTGTAATTCATTAATACTCTGCATTATTAAACACATAACACAAAGCATTATAATTCATATTGCATGTCATGATTTATGACTTATTGCTTCAGATCACAAACGTTCACTCTAAAAAAGAGTTACGCGCCCTTGAATTTTGCGCCTTAAAAAAATCCTGGGGAGAACACTGCAACAAAAGTGTCTTATTTATCTTAATTTGCATATCTAAGATTGTAAATATAGGTTTTACATATGGTATTACAAAGTATAATGCTTAGGGCCAATTTAAAGCCTTTGTGGCCATACTCCTTTGTCATACTATGTGCATAAAGTACTGTGGATTCATTTGTGGCTAGTTCTTTTAAGTATTTTTTTCTAATAGTTGAACCACAAATAAAAAGTTCAACTGAAGTACAAATTTCCTATAGGTTTATCATGTTTTATGCAGGCAGTATTTGTGAAAACTTGAAATGCAATATCAAGGAAAATAGTATCTCCTGAATCCATAAAAGTAAATAAATCAACAGTAAGAAACTAATAGATAATAGCTAGCATAGAACTGTACAATACCTGAGAATATCTTATACAGGTATTCTAAAGTCTTTTCCAAGCTCTTTAAATCTGGTTCTTCTCCACCTCTGTTAAAAATAAATTAAATACCATAAACATCTTTTGTTCATGACATTAATTCACTAAGCCATGTGGTAAAATAAAACTTGAACTAAGCAAGGGTTAAATTGTCCCATACAATAAACCAGTACTTTCTGTTACCTTGATTGCTAGCTAATTTATTATGACGTTATAACATTTCTGATAATTCTTTTGCAAGGTTCAATAAATGCTGATATACAAGACATGAAATATTTGCTACAATGAATTTTCTACAAAACTGCATCTCTTTTAAATAAGCGGGGCTTTTCTTTGTCTGATGTGAGAAGACAGAGAGAAAAAACCTTATGACAACAATGTTCATGAATCCTAAAAACTCTTTTATACAGTTCCGGCATGGGAACCCCTAAATGGCTGGCATGAAGAGACAACAGAAGTTGCTGAAAGGATGAGCTTTCCCCCTATCAGGGATTGGCTTTGTTTAATACTTATTTTCAGCAGAATTCCCACTTAAACACTAACAAGTAGAGAAGCATTTGGATTCGCTAACTTCTGGTTTGTGGGAGGGACTACTTTAACTATGTAGGAGTGATCACTTCTGATATGTGGGAGTGACTACTTCTGGTATGTGGGAAGGACTACTTCTAAGGTGGGAGGGACTACAAGTTTTTTACTTACTCCTCTTCATCCTCAGCATTTCCACCAACAAAAACAGGAATCTGTGGGAAGACATCTAACAATGCCCAGGTCAAGGTCACAGCATCTTCATATTTCTCTTCAGAGATCAGATTGTTGATTTGTTTTATGACGCTAAAAACAAGAAACTAACAGTATGAAATTATTATTTAGCTATTTCAATTTTAAGAAACCAAATGCTCAACATGCTTTACTAAAAAATACTATATTGCCGTAAGGTTACTCTGAAAATAAGGATCAATAAATCCATTCTTTTCTCCTTACAGATTATTAACTAAAAACTCATCCATCTTTAAAATTGATTGTAAAATGTCCAAAATTTAGTTGAAATCTTTCTTTTACCAGTTAGTTGAATTCATTTCAAGACATGACTCTCAAATTTTGAAAATTCATTTAAATACCCCTCAGAAATCTAATCTAATGAAATTGTTACATCAGTCCTTGCTTAATATCACCTGTGAGATCTCATTCAATATACTTCATTTCTCTTATGACTGTAGTATAATTTTTTTGAATCCTTCCATTATATTTTCTTCCTTTTAACTTTCAAAAATGTTGTCCATTACTCTTCTAATATATCAATAAGAACTTGTAATCTTGAATATTTCCATTACACTTCTCAATTTTATTTTTTCAGAATCTCTAATATACATGCCCTTATTTTACACTTAAAACTGATTTAAAAGTTTGAACAATTCAGTATACTTAAGTCAATATAAGTTGTAATTTTTTTTGTGAAAAGCAGGCCAGTTGTCCTTCCCGATGAATGATTTCATTGTTCCAATCTCTGTCTTACCTTTCAGAAGTTTCATTTTCTGGAATCTTTCCATTATTCCCCTCTTCTTCTACTCCATCTTCCTCCTTATCATGCATAATTTTAATAGCACGCTTTAACTTTGTTTTCAGTGGTTTCCATTCCTCATCTATCTTCTGAGTGACTGAATCTGCAGAATCATAATATATTGGAATCATTTTCTTTTAAGGTAGCACTACAGTCAGAATTTTCTGACTCCAACCAACAGTCTTTAAAGATTAATTTCTCCAGAACTACTCAATGGATTTTTAAAATCTTTAACTCATTTTAAAGCTGAAATATAGCTCTTTCTTAATCTATAGATAAATTTATTTTTGGTATGATTAATCTCAAAATATAGCTCATTAATTGCCAAAAAAGTGGTCTTCCAACTTGGATGAAAATGGCACATTCAGGTCAAATGGTAGTAAAAATTAGTTTTCATCCCTTTAATCAACCATTCACAATCTACAAAACCGTGTCTCAGATTTTTGATATATGCCTCCAGTAATAAGATATATTATTTTTACTGCTGGATGCCAAACCTCATTTCACCTTTCATCTTTGGAGACCTATAAATTCATTTAGAAACAAATTATCCAAAAACTGGGACATGGTATTGTAGAAAATACTCCCTTCAATCACATATATCAAAGTCAAGCCAAAGGGGGTACCCATAAAGTTTCTATTTTCATTTTTTCCTTACAATTCGCATGAAAAATTGTTCCGAGAAATGACCTTAAAACTGAATTTCCTCTTAAGAACCCCTATAAATGCCACATAAATACAAAAATTCCACTGGGAACACCCCAGGAGTGTTCTGACACCATTACTTTATCAATAGAACCACACACATTGTGTCTTTGATGCTCTAATGCTGTAAAATTTGCATTTTGTGTGCACTGTATAACACTAACTAACGAGAGTTTGACGTCACAGATTTGACCAACATCTGTGATGTAGTAATTAAATAAAGACAAAGCTCCGCCTCTGTCCAGACAGTCTAAGATAAGAGAATAACAGGATTGGCCAGCTGCATCATAATTAATATTTAACATCATTATTCTCACTATAAAGAATAATTTTCATTTGAATTTTAAAAAGAAATATAATATGACCATGATGACTGAAATTAGCTAAAATATTAAAATTGTGCATTAAAAGACATGTCCATAAAAAGATCAAGACCATCCCCTTCTTGAAAATAGACTGTCCAACATGATGTATGAGTTTCATGGAATTAAAAAATTTCACATAAACTTAAAATTAGATAAAATGCCTAAAATTATTTTTAAATGTAGAAGACCAAAGACGAGAAATTTATACAGGCAGTCAGAGGCTTTCAAAAATACTTTCACACTCTATTCCATAGTTTTTTTTTCATTTTGGTTGATTTTTTCCCTTTAAATTTTTTCCTATTCATATCTTTTTCTTCTTCTCTATTCTAAACTTCCATGTTTTATAAATTAGTTTTGTTGCAATGCAATGAGCTATTTATCTTGTGGTCAGGGATTAACAGCTGGACACTGGTATCAACAGATGATTGACATATTAGCCCCTCCCAAATGCCTATATATTTAGATTAATTACACGTGCTTTTATTTACATAAGTTCATTATCAATTTACTCCCTGTTGTGATATGATAATGACTTTTGGATTTTTACAAACCGTGCAGAATAATGCTTACTTCAAAATTATGTGATAAAAAAAATATCTTCAAAAAATCATTGTTAGACTATAGTGCTACCTTAAACAACCAAAGTTTTGAAGACTGTAAAATTACTTTACTGAAATATTCTTTGTGATCAAAGATAACTCAGATATTATTAGCAGAGTACAAAAATATCTCCCCTGCTATCAAACAAAAATATTTTTCAGTACCATTATAAAATTTCAGAGGAGGCTTATCTCCCTTCTACCACAATTTTCTGTGGTGTTGAGCAAGTTCAAATAGAAATTCCACAAAACATCTCAATAACACTTTTTTGGTTTAAATCCTCTTGTTTAAGAATAACCATTCAAATATTTAAAATAGTTTAACATGACATTTCTCTCTTCACAGATTAATGACTAGCTAAATTAAAATCCTCATAACCAATGCTAATTAACATAGCAATTGTGAGCCATATGAATATCCAGGAAATTTTATAGATGAAATTAAAGCACCCTATTCTTTTTTTCCCATTGCAATCATCAACATAAATTTTGCCATAATTGAGTTTATGACAATACCTGTTTGTGATGAATCTGTCTCCATCTCCTCGTCTCCACCTGTCATTTCCTTTAACTTCTCCTTTTCTTTCTCATAATTCTCTTTAAGTTCCTCCACTGATAACTGTACAATACAATATATTGGGTTATGATGTATTTCGTATATATTTTAATTAAATATTTTTTTCAAACATTGTATTATTTGTGCATGTGAATTCATATTGTATTAGATGTATTTAATTTCATATTAAAATTGAGCTAAACATTGTACTTTTATTTTCTAATAGTGTTTGATGAGATTTGATTGACAATGAATACCAGGAAACTTAAAACTACACGCTCTGCTTTTCTCAATTGTAATGTAGGAGAAAACTTGTTATGTAGCGACTACTATCTGTGTTTTACAATCTTTCCTTTAAGTGGTCCAATCACAAAATGGACAACACTAGATGCAAGCTGTGTGACCAGTTAAATAAATCTTTACCTTTGCAGCAAATGGATTACACTTGATGAATGCTGTGACAAGTTGTATAGAATTCTTCCTCACTTGACTGGATTTATCTGCTAATCTTCCAATTACTAAAGTCAAAACTTTATCCTGCCATGTCAATGGTAAACACTAAAAAAAAAAAACCTCTTTGATTGTACTATCAGCTTTATATCAACTGACTTGTAAGAATGCTTATGCTTGAATGTATCAGTGGTTGTCTCTGTTTCTTGTCCTTTATAGAGCTTAGACACATAAAAAAGAAAATAAGTAAAGGCCCTTCAATGTAACTGTAACTTAAATTGCCAACACAATGTCTGAATCAAATATTTCTACCATCAAGGTTTTAGTGAAAGACTAATGTGCAAGTTTGGAGGAATTCTGCAAGTTTTTTCTCCAAGGAGATGAAGATTACTAAAATGTGACACAGATGATGACACAAGACAACAAATGTGAAAAAAACTGCTTCTCTGTCAGTAAACACAATAAGCAATAGTACTGTACAGTTTTCCTCTTATTGTCAGCATTATATATAATACTCACCCAACCTTCATTTATTAGATTTTTACCTTTTCATTGACAATATTCCACCAGATCTGTAATAATTTACTTCTAACAAAAGCGTTGACATCATGGATATGTTCCTGAATAAAAATGTCATCAATAAAATATAAGGCATACTTAAAATAATACCAAATATGAAAATAAAAATAACTGGTGTGTTAACCAATACATTTAATGCACAATGAAGATGATCAATGTTTTAAGACAGGACTTTAAAGAATGACAGATACTATATGAAAACCTTTATTAGCAAGAGTTGTCAGAGAAGATTAGAAAATAAAAACAAAATTTTACAAATCTGGTATTTCTGAAAATTTCAGTCACAACTTTTCTCTTATATACGATTGAACAGCCCTAAAAGATAAAATTCTGGATATTGTGGTACATACTGTAAGGCATTCTAAGAATTGGTCTCTGGTTAACTTCATTTTATTATCAAGATCATCTTTACTTAGAACTTTCAGCAGAATTTCTCCCATCACTCCAAGTACACCATTCCTCAATGTATATGACTAAAATTGATGGAAATAATATGATTTAGATTACAAACAATAAATAATCTCTGGAAACAAATCTCAGAAGTCAAGTAAAATGTTATATACAGTTGAGAACAAATTTAAGTGAACGAAACATTCATCCTAGTTAAAATAATCTGATTTTCTGTCGATGTTTAAAATCTATTTTTTCTCTTTAAGTAGAAATATTAACTTGTTGAATCTGTATTACTAGAACAGGGAGGGTGTGGTGTTTGCTATTCAAAATTAGAAGACGAGTAGCAGGACTGATCAACTAATAATTCTTGTGGGTACCTTGTAAGGATTTTTAAAACTTTTGTTCACATACTGATTTCTTTTCAATTATCAAGATTGCCAGTAGAACATAAAGACTTCTGTCCTAATGACACCCTCCTACCCATTGTAACCAGACTAATGCCATATTTACTAATTGTACAAATTTTTTTGAAGTATGTTATTAAAGACTAAGCTTTTAATTATTTCTGTTGAAAGTTATGGAGTTGATTTAAAAACACAATTTGCTATTTTTTTTAAAATTTAGAAAAAAATCAGAATAAAACCAAACCTCCTCATCCAGATGACACATTAACACACTAATACTAGGCAACATCACTAACCTCCTCATCCAGATGACACATTAACACACTAATACTAGGCAACATCACAAACCACCTCATCCAGATGACACATTAACACACTAATACTAGGCAACACCACTAGCCTCCTCATCCAGATGATCATTAACACACTAATACTAGGCAACATCACTAACCTCATCCAGATGACACATTAACACACTAATACTAGGCAACATCACTAACCTCATCCAGATGACACATTAACACACTAATACTAGGCAACATCACTAACCTCATCCAGATGACACATTAACACACTAATACTAGGCAACATCACTTACCTCATCCAGATGACACATTAACACACTAATACTAGGCAACATCACTAACCTCATCCAGATGACACATTAACACACTAATACTAGGCAACATCACAAACCACCTTATCCAGATGACACATTAACACACTAATACTAGGCAACATCACTAACCTCCTCATCCAGATGACACATTAACACACTAATACTAGGCAACATCACCAGAGGTATCTTCTCAGCTACTTCAACAAGGAATGCTGAAATACATCTTGTTCCAGACGGATCTCTAGCAATGTCTTTTGGGTCAAGGCGACCTACTTCTCTACAAGATAAGTACAAAAGGTATTATGAAATTCAGCTTCATTACTGTCAATGAATTGATAATTATATGAATACTAAAGGGGAAAAAAAAACAAACATTATACCATGAAGTTCATTAGCAAATTTTTACCTTAGAAAATAGTTAGAGCTTAATACATTGTTATTTTTAAGGCTTCAACTAGTAGTGACATGAATTTTTTATGGTCTTAGATCTTTAGATACAAAAAAAATGTCTGATCTGTTATTTTTCTGATTGTGTCCTATTCTGGATTGTGACATTTTGATTGAGTGTGGATTTCTTTGCATATGGTGCATGACAGGAGACACTTTCCCTTTCAATGCACCTGAACACGCTCCTTTTGGAGTTCATGCAATTCCCCCCGTTTCCTTGATTGGTATCTTCTAATTCCATTTATTGGAGATTTAACATAGATAAACTACTCTTGCTTAAATTTACCTCATTATTTCTTGTATGACACTTTTCACTCCCAGTTCATTGGTAATTATTTCTACTGTGTGGGCTAAAGGTGACACTAAATGCTCAAAATGTTGAAGTAATTGTAAGATCTTTAAACTGGCACCTACAAATAGAAAAAAATATGAAAAATCTTAGTATACAGGTTAAAAAAAATCTATTTAAAGGAAAACAATTCAATGCAAAATGTAGTGATTTTGCTGCTTTCAGTTAGAGATTACTAGATTTCCTTCATCAGAACATTAAGTTGGGGAACCCAAAAATATTAATACATTTAAATACAAAGAGTGCACACACTGAAATGTGTCGCCTTCTTTACTAACCATTGATATTATGTTGATAGTCCTAAATATAAAGCTTTACTACAACTATCACATAAACTTAACATGATCCAAGAAAATGAGGTCATATAAACCAAACAAGAAATACATGTACACCTTACAATCATTCAATACACTAAATATAGTTGACCTATTGCTTATAGTTTCTAAGAAAGAGACTTAACCAAGAAAACTAAACAGTGACCAATGAACCATGAAAATGAGGTCAAGGTCAGATGAACCATGCCAGGCAGACATGTACAGCTTACAATCCTTCCATACAACAAATATAGTTGACCTATTGCTTATAGTTTAAGAAAAACAGCCCAAACATAAAAACTTCACACTGAGCAATGAACCAAGAAAATGAGGTCAAGGTCAAATAAAACCTGCTCGACTGACATGTACATCATAAAATATTTCCATACACCAAATATAGTTGACCTATTGCATATAGTATTAGAAAATAAGACCAAAACTCCAAAACCTAACTTTGACCACTGAACCATGAAAATGAGTTCAAGGTCAGATGACACCTGCCAGTTGGACATGTACATCTTACAATCATTCCATACACCAAATATAGTAGACCTATTGCATACAGTATAAGAAAAACAGACCAATACACAAAAACTTAACTATAACCACTGAACCATGAAAATGAGGTCAAGGTCAGATGACACCTGCCAGTTGGACATATACACCTTACAATCCTTCCATACATCAAATATACTAGACCTATTGCTTATAGTATCTGAGATATGGACTTGACCACCAAAACTTAACCTTGTTCACTGATCCATGAAATGAGGTCTAGGTCAAGTGAAAACTGTCTGACGGGCATGAGGACATTGCAAGGTACGCTCATAATAAGAGAGAAAATAACATTACAAAAAATCTTAACTTTTTTTTTCAAGTAGTCATTGAACGCTGAAAATGAGGTTAAGGACAATGGAAATGTGACAGACGGATACTTTGTAACATAAGGCATCTATATACAAAGTATGAAGCATCCAGGTCTTCCACCTTCTAAAATATAAAACTTTTAAGAAGTTAGTTAACGCCGCCGCTGACCGATCACTATCCCTATGTCAAGCTTTCTGCGACAGAAGTTGCAGGCTCGACAATAAAACCAAGAATTATAACTCTTTTGGCAATATATATGTATGAGTGACTGTAAGTTCTTACTGAGTGCATGATTATATCTTTTGGCCATTACACCAATCAAATGGCTGATAGCATCTCTCGTTTCCTTTGATGTCACTCTGGTTATACTTGGATTCTCTAATAATCTGTACCCACAGTTTGTTACAAGACTGAAAAATCAAAACATATTCTGACAATTATAGATTGTGTAGAATTTAATAATACAATTATATGGATACATGTACCTTTGTGGCCAGGTTAAATTTTTTTTTTTTTATCATTTCCCTTCCCATTGTAGTCACAAATTAACAGAATAAAGCAAAGATACACATAAGATGCTATAATAGATAACAAAAGCAAAAATTTCTATGAAAATTGTTTCTTTTTATAACATTGACTTTCAATGTAAATAAAGTAGGAAATGAAAAGGAACTATTGAGTGATTGATTGTGGTTTGCTTCAGCGGTGCAATGATCTACATCTGTTTCTAAGTGTTCTCAATATGTTTTGAAGCCAAATTGTTGACAACACATATTGGTGTATAACTTTAGAGGATAGAAAATACAGGATTATTTTACATGTGAATTTGTGGTTTTTATTTGACACGGAAATCACGATATTTCATTGCAACCAATGTAATACTAGCATTTATAAATCTAACAATGTTGTAGGTGAATTAAATATAATATTCATGTTTAAATTTTTTTTAATTGTCAGTATTAGCTTATAATTTTCTTTAAACATACGTTACAAATTCTTCTTCCACTATAGGTGGATCCCAGAGTCTGTGGATATTAGGAGTTACCAGATGTAACAGTACTTTAATTCCACATTCCTTCTCTCTGTCCCAGTCTATTCCAGAATCACTAGGCTTTTTTTTGCCTCTTCTTCCCTGTAAAAATTATGTTACAAATATAAACAGTATGATAAATTTGTTTCTGTAACCCTATTCATAACCATAAGTTGAAATATTTAATGTTTAGATTAATTTAACACTGATCCTTCATTAAATTTAAGAACATCTGATAAAATTGTACTTCATACTAAAATTATGACTCTTAAAATTAACACTGATCCTTCATTAAATTTAAGAACATCTTATAAAATTGTACTTCATACTAAAATTATGACTCTTAATAGCAAGTATGATACTAATTCAAAATAAGGTTTTGAAACTGTTTTCATCACTGTATTTCACTAGGCCAATCATCAGTGCTTAATATTTATAGATTCACACTCTTAAAAACATTGAACTATAAGGTTAAGTAAAAGGTTCTCATAAGATTAAACTGTGGTATGTTTAAAGTTGAACCAAGCAATAAAATCCATTTCTCTTTCATTGTCTTAAATATTAGAGTTAATTCTTTCAAAATAGGTTGTACATTTTCATAGGAAGCATGTAAACTTTATTGAAATTAAGGGCATAGCCATCTGATGCCAGGTGACAGTTCAAAGTAAACAACAAAATAAACAATTTGAAAAATTATGCAAAATGCAAAATACCTTTCCCCCAACAACTTGACTTGCACTTGGCTGTGTATCTTCTGCTTCAAAGATCTCAAAAAACTGACTGAGCAGATAACAAATCATCTTAACCATGTTAGAACCATCTTTCCTGATCTCTGGCTCGATGCTGGTTTCATCTAATGTTGTTGCCAGGTTGTTTACAAAACTCTGAGCAACTGCAAAGTCAATTCAAAATATCAATTACTAAAAAGTACTTTAAGATTAAATAAATAAAACTTCATGAACATAAATAATTCGTAAGCATTTAAGTGATTAAAACGGACCAATAAAATCCAAACTCTTACAAACTTTTCCAAGATTGTACCAGTAGTTTTGATTTTTACACAGGATTGGTGAAGGAAAATAACTCAAATATTAAACACATTTCCAGTCCTATAACAACTAAAATTTTACAATTTTCAACTTTTTTAAGATATTATGGTGTATATGTCTCTTGTCTTCAACTATATTATAGAACAATGATTAAGCAAGTGAATCTGTGAGCTACTGCTCACTAATGATACCCCCGCCCGCTAAAAGTATAAGGTAAACAGGAAGTTGCTGAGTGATGAATCTGAAAACGCATCACACAGTATAGCTGACTCATATAAACCCTGAAACCAAATTTCAAAAATCCTTGTTATGTAGTTCCTGAGAAAAATGCGATGAAAAATATTCATGGGACGGACGGAACGACAGACAGAGGTAAAACAGTATAGCCCCACTTTTTTAAAGTGGGGGTATAATAAGTAAACTGAGGATTGATATGTATTTTTCGCTCCAGTCTTTTGACACTTTTTTTTAAAATTATGATTTTTGTCAGTAAATATTTAGGATGTCGGACAATCCTGTTCTACTACTATTATTTTCAAAGTGTCATTAAATTGTGAATTTTCTTCCATGTTTACATGTAAGTAAAATATTGCCCTGAAAAATAGATTAAAACAAAACATTGTTATAAAGGACAATTTACTTTTAATGAGGAGCTGCCAGGCTTCTTCCTTCAGGTCGCCACTTACATCCTTCTGTAAACTGAAAAACAAATCAAAATATAGAGATTCCATCATTCAATGCTTTGCCTTCATCTCCTTATAACATTTTAGTTATTTATTTGACTTAGTAAGATAGTATGTTGCTGACAAATTTTGATTCTTTAGCTAACTGTCACTTTACCCTTTCTTAATTTGCCAGCTTTCAAATATCAATAAAAATTGTGGAAAAAAATCTAGACCTTAAAAAAATAATGAATTATTGTATTCAAATATTTCAAAGTGAGAGAGCAAGCTATTAATGATGAAAAACCGAAATTCCAACATTTTCAAACTACCGTAGAAAGGCTTGTATAGTTCGCACTGGTACATAGTCCGCACCCCCTTCTTCCCACGAAATTTTAGGTAAAAAAACTTTTTGTAACTGTTAGAAACGGTCTACTGAAACTCCGGTAATTTCAAATCCTGTGCGGTCGTTTGCTGTATTTTCTTGGAAAAACCTGTTTTCCATCACCAAACAGAAGCTGAAACTGCTTGTCAATGATTCTAGAACGCTTCATGATTGTTAAAATAAGTTTAATTCACTTAAAAAACAGTTTAGAAACTTGTGCATGTTTAAACAGGAAGTTTAAAAAGGACGTGTAAAAGAAGAAACTAACCGGTGAGAGTCGAAATCCGTACATAACAGATATCACTATAATACGACTTTGAAAGTAAAACAGTTCCATCCTTTTGTAAAACAGTCTTTAATATATCTATCACATTAATGTTTGAAGGGTCTTAAGCTAATACAAACCATATTAGTCAGTATGAAACACCAAAACGGAACGAACAATAACCGATTACGTTTTGTAGTTTACAAATTCTAAGCTGGTTTACGGTTGCCTTTTTCACTATGTTTGTATCGTTTCAATCAAGCAGATACCAGTTTATTTCAACCAATGCATTGAAAAGAAACGAGAAATTTGTAATGAAAGGTTTAGTTTTTATATTTATCAGTATTAATTTGATATTGAATAGAAATAACTTATTAATATGGATGAGTTAAAATTATTAGTTTGAAAAATGATAAGAGCGCCCTCTGCAATATAAATAACAAAGATGGCGGAACGTAAACAAACCACCTCGCCCGCGAAATTGAAATTTTTCTCTTATTTCTTGCTTATTGTACTCTATAGTCCGCACCCCGTCTGGAAGGTCCAATTTTGGAGAATAAAACCGCGGACTATACAAGCCTTTCTACGGTATACTGTTGAAGAAAAAATATTGACCATTAAAGGTAATGAATTTTTATATTTTAGTCAATAACAAGAATGTGTCCATAGTACAGTGATGCCCCACTCGCACTATCATTTTCTATGTTCAGTGGACCGTGAAATTGGGGTCAAAACTGGTATTAAAATTAGAAAGACATAAAAGATCATATCATAGGAAACATGTGTACTAAGTTTCAAGTTGATTGGACTTCAACTTCATCAAAAACTACCTTGACCAAAAACTTTAAACTGAAGCGGGACAGACGGACGAACGGACGCACAGACAAGAAAACATTATGCCCCTACTACTATTGTAGGTGGGGCATAAAAACAATGTTCATGATGTTATAATGAATAGAATACAAACCATATTACACTGAACAGAGAATCAAACTTATGTAGAAGACATTTGCTGCCCTGGCTTCTGAATGCAGTCTTCAATTCTGGAAAAGACAAAAAAAAACACAAAAAAAAACATTTTAACTTAGACAACTTATATCATAGAAGTTTAAGGAAAAATAAATAATTCTGATTGTAAAACATTTTGAGTAGATTAAAATACTGCTGTTTTCTACATGAACTGTTATATCAGTAAAAAAATAAGGAGATGTGGTAATAACGGGTATGATTTGCCAATGAGACAAAGATCCACAAGAATTCAAATGATGTGGTTTGTTTGATGGACAGCAATATTGACCACAGAAATACAGAAAAAGAATGAATTTGGTTTTGTTTATTAAATATTGTTCTATCTAATATTTGTAATGCTTCTTTCCATTTTTTTATTATCAAAATGGTACAATAAATATAGATAAATAAATAAAAGATATTGTATCTAGATAGATGTGAACAGCTGCATGAACACTAGGTTCAACTGTAATCAACAAAATATTTTTAAAATTACCTTGTAGAGCACCTGGTATTTCTCGCAGTGTTGCAATCTCACTGACAACAAAGTGGTCTATGCCTGTTCTGTTTAACAAATCATCACGAGAAGATGGAATTACAAATTCAAAACTCATTTTTAAAACTGAAAAAAGAATAAAAAATTATTAAACTGTATTTGTTCCTTCAATAGAAATAAATTGGTCTCAATATGCAGAGTGAAAAAAGTATAACATCAGGATCAGGCCTCTACATTCATTGACATTATCATTTTTTCTAACTTCGGACAAGTTGCAAGAAAATCAACTTGTCCGAACTCTTTACTCGCTTGTCCGAATTCAAAATTGAAAATCTTACATATTGATGATAGGCAATAATAACACTTGTCATACCTAATGAAGGGAGCATTTTGTTATGCTATATGAATTTGCTTGTAACTAAATAAAGAATACCACATCAAAATTCATTTTATTATAATATTTCAGACTGAAAGATTATTTGCAAGACTGAGTTCTGACTCAATGTCACTATCATGTGTTGATAATTAAATCATCATCACTTCCAAAATCACTATAGGTTCTCTTATGGACCTATCCATTCTGTAGTAGTCGTATGGGTTAAACCAAGGATGCTTTGGTCTTCCTGTAGACCATGGCCACCACCTTATGAAAACATGACATTTAACTTTGTTACTGTCTTGCAGGTAAACAATGCAATGCGTATGTAAATTTCAACTGATTAAAACATGTTAAAGATGGCGATTCCGGTGACCAGGATCTCTCAGGATTTATCCTTTCCATATGAAAGCTTCTCAGCATATTAACATTGATTTCTTTCCCCCTTACTTATATTTCCCAGGTCAGCCGCTGCCGGCATGTTCAATCAATGAATATTTATTTCATTTTGTATGACCAATAAAAGAATCATTCAATTTCTTGGGAATTTAGAAGTCTTGAATTTGATGTGTTTTACATCTGACATCGATTTTTCACTTGTCCCATGGGACAAGTAGTATGGTGAATCTACTTGCCAGACATCTGTGTCCACTTGTCCCAGACAATCGGTAATGTCGATCCCTGCGGATGGTGTCACAATGCAAAAGTTTATTTAGTTTTTCATGTTTTTTTCATATAAATATATCATACTTATTTGATAGAGCACTGGCAGACCTATTTGGAAAATCACCGCGATTTTTGTAAAAACTCCGGTGTTTTTTGGCTTATCTCCGCGAAACGGATAATAATTAGAGGTTCATCGTAAATTTGCTGTATTACAGGATATTTTGCATGTTATCCGGAGATTTTCCGTGTCGGTGGGAATTAGCCGTTTGTCCGATAAAACTGGTGTGTATTGAGTCATTGATAGAACCACTGATGCGTGAGCGACGGTTATTAATAGGTCGTTGTATAATCCGTTATGCGTGAGCGACGGTTATTAATAGATCCTTGTAGTGTGGTACAAATTATGATATATAGATGTTTACAGACTTAAAAACAAAGTAACTATAATCATTTGAGATATAAGGAATTTTCAAAAATATATCATATAATGTTTCTGTAAATTTAGAGAGAAACAGATTATATATATCTGGGGATTAGATGGTTACTTTTTTAATTATATGTCAGAGGCCGCAGATCATTTTATTGCTTCTAGAACCGTTTATTGAAACAAAAATAAAATGAACGGCCAGGGGAAAGTCTTTAGTAACCTTAGTTGGTATCAGGGGTCAACTGGGTTGAGTTCAATATCGTAGCAGCTACGTAGCGGCTATGTAGTTGCTATCAATATCTATGTAGCAGCTAATCTACAGCTACACGTTCAATAGTAAAGATCTACATAGCACTACGTAGCCGCTACGATATTGAACGCAACCCTGGTAATACACAGAGTCAGACCGTCGTTGAATAATATGTATATGTATTTACACACAATGCAGTGCATTCAAACTCAATTTCGCAAACTCGTGGGTTGTCTTTTTAGACAAAAAAGTTCAATTTAAAAGATATGAAAGTTGCGTACATGTATACAAGGAATTGTATATTTAACGTCAATGCCTGTCTTGTAAACTAATCTGTTACACTTTGAAATGTAAATAAGTTCTATTTAAAAGATTGGACGGTTATTTCACATGAATAAAAGTTCTTCTGATCATTTTTGTTTTACAATGATTTTTGAAAGTGCGATCTTAAAACTAAGTTTGTCCGGACTTGCATGGAATATTTGCCACTGGAAGTTAAGCAACCAACAATCAATCATCTTAAAATAAAATAAATATGCCTGAGCGATAATATTCTTAAATTTTTTAATGTGAAACACAGTTTCTTCATTTATTAGAAATCACTTTCAGGTCTAAAGGTTAAGTGAATATACATTCCGGGATGAGATTAATTTACTATAATTGCCAAAGAAAAAGAAATGATATTACGTTTCTTTTAATTAAAAATTAGACTGCAACAAATGTAGATCGAACATTTTTAATAATGAAATAATGCACGTCAAAAATTTCGCTCACAATAGAGATGTTAAAAATAGATTTTATCAATTGTGTCACTGCACGAGATTTTCCAACGGCGGGAAATATCATGTAGCTATAAACACAGGTGATGTTACTGACCGATTGTGGAATGTCAATTTAGGGTTAAATTTGATGTGTAATGATTGACATTATTGTGCGCGTTAGGTTGAGGCTCTAGAAGGTTCATTTCAATTGATAACCAAAATTATAAAATCAAGTTTTTTTTTTCAAATCAACGTTTAAGTGTAAAATTTTGTGGAAGGGAAACTTTATTTTGTTTGTTTTTTAGGGGCACAGGGAGTTACCATAAAAATCTATAGGAACATTGAATAAAACAATTTCGAAGGTCACAACTTGTAAACTAATGAAAACAATGATAAACACTGCTGACAAGCGTAAACAGTTGTACATTACTTAGAAAATAGAGAGAGTGAAAAAAAAGGACGTTGATGATGGTTACTGTTCATGTTAATTTTGAAAGATCGTGGTAACTGATTTCTGGGATGGTGGTACTTGCCAAAAGGTTGTATAAAAGGACAAACTAAGTACAATTTTAGCCGTGATATATGGGGCCCCCTCACGCTTGAATTAATTTACGTTACGTATTTCGTCCTTTATTATGACCTACAGTTGATCATAGTTGAGTACTACGTATCGGTCAGGGGCGGATCCAGACACTGTGAAAAAAGGAAGGGTGTGCCAGCCAGGGTTTCTCAGAAAAAAGGGGGTGCTAGTACAGTTGGCCTAATGTATTTGAAGGCCAGGATTGGAAGATTATCAGACATTCTGTGGCTTAATTTTAATTTTATTTTCTAACTGTGAAGTGCTACCTAAGCCCTGTCCTGGAGAACCATACCCAATTTTTTAAAAGGGTGTTCCAAAGGCATATTAAAATACTTCCAGCATTATACAGGTCCTGAGGTACAATTTCTTGGGGAGGAGATTTCAATTGCTGTTATGTGGGTTAATTTTTTGTTACTAGGAATTTTATTTTTTTTTCATCAGATTTGCCCCAATTGTCAAAATATATAACACTTCATAAACATCTGAACTTTGCCTGTATTTTTCAACCTATAATGAATAAAGTCCTAAACTATATGAAAATATCTTCATTTAAACATACTTAAACATATGCACACCGTGTAAATTGTAAATAAAATTGAAATTGTTATGTTGTGGCCAACCCGGTTCTTGGGGTGAACACCAAATTTTCCAAAAACAAGAGTGCACATGCTGAAATGTCTCGCCTTCTTTATTAATCATTGATATTATGTTGATAGTCCTAAATATAAAGCTTTATTACAACTGTCACATAAACTTAACATTTACCAAGTAAACTAAACATTGACCAATGAACCATGAAAATGAGGTCAAGGTCAGATGAACCATGCTAGGCAGGCATGTACAGCTAACAATTCTTCCATACAACAAATATAGTTGACCTATTGCTTATAGTTTAAGAAAAACAGACCAAAACACAATAACTTAACACTGAGCAATGAACCTTGAAAATGAGGTCAAGGTCAAATAAAACCTGCGTGACTGACATATAGACCATAAAATATTTCCATATACCAAATATAGTTGAACTATTGCATATAGTATTAGAAAAAAAGACCAAAACTCAAAAACTTAACTTTGACCACTGAACCATGAAAATGGGGTCAAGGTCAGATGACGCCTGCCAGCTAGACATGTAAACCTTACAATCATTCCATACACCAAATATAGTAGACCTATTGCATTCAGTATAAGAAAAACAGACCAAAACACAAAAACTTAACTATAACCACTGAACCATGAAAATGAGGTCAAGGTCAAATAAAACCTGCATGACTGACATATAGATCATAAAATATTTCCATACACCAAATATAGTTGAACTTTTGCATATAGTATTAGAAAAAAAGACCAAAACTCAAAAACTTAACTATAACCACTGAACCATGAAAATGAGGTCAAGGTCAGATGACACCTGCCAGTTGGACATGTACACCTTACAGTCCTTCCATACACCGAATATACTAGACCTATTGCTTATAGTATCTGAGATATGGACTTGACCACCAAAACTTAACCTTGTTCACTGATCCATGAAATGAGGTCGAGGTCAAGTGAAAACTGTCTGACGGGCATGAGGACCTTGCAAGGTACGCACATACCAAATATAGTTATCCTATTACTTATAATAAGAGAGAATTTAACATTACAAAAAATCTTAACTTTTTTTTCAAGTAGTCACTGAACCATGAAAATGAGGTCAAGGACATTGGACATGTGACTGACGGAAACTTCGTAACATGAGGCATCCATATACAAAGTATGAAGCATCCAGCTCTTCTACCTTCTAAAATATAAAGCTTTTAAGAAGTTAGCTAACGCCGCCGCCGCCGGATCACTATCCCTATGTCGAGCTTTCTGCGACAAAAGTCGCAGGCTCGACAAAAATCTGGAGGCCTATTCTGATCATATTCTGATCCCCAATTTGATGAGAGAAAAAAATATTGTGGTCTGGCAGTTGACAAAAAAAATTGGAATTCCAGAATTCCCATTACGGTTAATTAGCGAAAAAAATGTTTGGTGCATGGCAGTGGGGAATAACGTTGTGTTCCGAATTATTTCCGACTCAG